GCTGCCCATAGAACTTCTCAATCTCACTCAGAATCTCAGGTGTTCCGGAAACGTTGCTGCCACACTCAGTCTTCAACTTTGACAGTTGGCTCTTACTGGCAGACAGATCTCGGGCAAAGATTTTGGAGCCCTGGTTTCGCTCGATCGCTTCCTCAACACGAGCAGTATTAAAATTGCGTAAGTCTCGCCGCATGCATTTGGAGATCTGTCTCTTCAGTTGCCTGTATGCTGTCAAATCTGTTGACGATTGCAGCCTCATCTCCCGTCTTACAGCCACGATATTAAGAGTGTGATCGGAGAGTTTTTGTGTTCTTCTGCGACGGGTCTTGCAGAACTTAGATCCGATCGCATGGACAGTTTCCACGAGCTTGTCATTCATATCGTCCACTGCATTGCAATCTTCTAGGCACTGAAAGCGGTTACGTAACTCGAGCTGAAAGGGTTCGGGATTCTGGATTAGAGCACGAGGGGGATGAAGTCAACGCTCCGTGACTTCATTAGACGAGACCTCTCCAACTTAACGTTTAGGTTCAGTGTGCATCTAACCATTCGGTTATCGCTGCCAGTTTTCACCCTTGCGATCACTGAGACATCACTGAACAATTGGCGTCTGGTCATCATAATGAACTCAATCTCATTTTTTGTCTAACCGTCGGGGCTCGACCAGGTCCACTTCCTGTGGAGCCGCTTCTGGAAGAAAGAGTTCATCATAAAGAGTCCCCCTTTCTCCATGAAGTCGGCCAGCTGCTGGCCCCTACGGTTCCGTTGCCCTACTCCAAATTTCCCTAACTTCAGCTCGCCGCTTTCTCTTGTGCCTAGTTTTGCGTTGAAGTCTCCCATCAACACCGTGTAGTGGGTTTTGGAGGAATGCATGGCTCTAGAAATATCCTCATACATTTCCTCCACCTCCTTATCGGAATGTGCCGAAGTTGGTGCGTTGTGATTCTGAGTATCAGGTACGCGACCCTTGTCGACACACTCTCAATCTTTACAACGTTGTTGACGAGAGACTTGTGGACGATAAATCCGACACCTCCTTGGGACGGATGGTCGCCCTCCCGGTGATAGAACAAGTGGCCGGACTCGAGGATTACCGTGTCCTCCCCCTCTCTTCGGACCTCGGATAATCCAATAATATGGCAGTGCAACTTGTCTACCTCTTCTTCCAACTCCAGTATCTTCTCGTCAGTCCTCAGGGTGCGTGCGTTATATGTTGCCAGGTCGAGTCGTCGTAGGTGGCAACCGAACCTCCACCGGAGATTTTTAGCACCCCCTGCCCCGCCGTTACCATGGTCGCCACCGTAGCCAGGAATAGCGGAGCCGCCGGGGACTGGGGGCCGTTTGTTTACGTCGTTGCTTATGGGGGGATATTTGTCATAGTTGCCACGCTTAGCGAGCGGGTTGGCAACCACAGTTTTTATTATATTATTGTTGTTATTAGGAAGATGCTGCTGCCCATCTCCTGCCTGTCTCCCTCTGTCGCCTTTTACGACACCCACGGGAAGATATGGGGTAGTGGATATTCTCAACCGCCACTACACTGCAACGTATTCTTAATGATTGTTATTCATATGACGTAGACGAATGTTTGCTGAATGAGTCAATTCGGTTGAAAACTTACTTAAGTCTATGCTAGAATCTTACACCTCTTGCAGTGAAATGTTTATGCTAATTAATTAAAAGAAACTTGTTAACGTTTTCCCAAATTGCTTTACTATCTATAGATTTTTTTAACGTTGTCAAGCACTAGCTATGTAGCGCTATTTCTCCAGGGTGTCCTATATAGAAAACACATGTAGGTCAATAATTTTGAACAATCAACTAAATAATGTATCAGTTCTTTACATAAATTGTGTTAACAAAGAACTGACAATGTGATGATCAAATAAAGGAATTTTATATAGTAAAGGAAAAGTCTTTATAATTTATTTAACATAACTTACACATAAAGTTATAATTTCTTATGCAATAGTGTCTTACAGTTATTGTTTGTATATATGTCATATATTTTTTTCCAGATCTTATAACATCAACATCATTATAGAAAACATTTTTTACTTGATTAGTTTGATTAATTTAATAGGGCTACAAGTATTGTTAGCTCAGGGCCAGGTTAGAGATATTTACATTAACAAGCAAATTAAGTTCTGTATCAGTGTCCACTAGTGTCACAAACAGTCAGATTATTTTATTTATTTCCATATCATTAAGTCTTAATGGATTTTCCTATTCAGAAACGCAACTGATTTATAAATTTTGTTTTTGTAGAAAACGAAGTAAAGAGGCATTTATAATCTAAGACCTAACTTTTATAACAAAATTGATATATCTTTACTATTAAATATGATATTGTTGTTCTATTGAACTGGCCATTTTAAAATATAAAATATATGGTTTTAAAATTTTAAATTCAAATATGTTTTTTAGTTAATACCGAAATGAGTTATTCGCATCATAATGTAGTAAATATATACTCTTTAATTCGTTTCTTTGAGCTCTGTTTAATACAACGGAATTATTATTACAGCCAATACAAGTCCACAAGGGATACAAAAAACAAGGAATGCCACAAAGCACGGTCCTGAGTCACCTGCATCTATCGACTTCCTGAATATCTTAGTCATTATCTTTTTTTATCCAGGTCGTCACTCCATTTAGTGGGAGCCTCCCTGACACATCGCTTACCGGTACAAGGCTGCACCTCGAGAGCTTTTCTTTCCTAAAACTGAAGGAGTTCAATAAAATCAAATGAGTCGATGAACCGATTTTCGATATCATCATGTTCGGGATATTGTTAAACTACTTATACCTTACAATACAAATAACAACAAAGAAAACAAAACCAAACTTTCCTAGAAGCACACCATAGAAATTTTATTTGGGTTTAGGTAAACAGGAAAAGTAAATAAATGCATGGTTTTAAATCATTTAATAAAATAAGTGATGTATTTTTTTATGAAGACCATTCACATTTATCATTATATAAAATTATATATTCAGACGTTTGTCAACTAAAATTTGTTTGGAGGTCAAATAGTTTCAAGATATTTAGAAAATAAGGATAAAACTTTGATAACCAAAAAATAACTACAAATTTGTAATATAAACATGTACGAGTTAATGTACTTTTATTTTTAAATAGTTCTTACTCTGAAAAATTTTTATTTAAAAAAATTTAATATAATATTTATTAAAATCTTGAATGTATGGCGCCTCAGTTCGTAAGAACAGTAATCGCAGTAAAGCATACAATTCACTGATATTTAAATAGATTTAAATAACTATTTCAACGAACTCGTAATAGTCAAACATAAAATTACATGATAAACAAATTTACCACGAGTTAATTGTATGAACTTGTATTATGTGATATTTATAGAATGTAATATTTATTTATCATGTTTTCATGATTTTTCTTGTCATTTTGTGGCAGCCTTCTATTCACATGATTCACATACCTAAGGCTGCCACAACATAACAAGAAAAATTATGATTCTAAAAAGAAAATTCTTTTCAGGCTTTTCATGATAAATAAATATTACATCTTTTTCTAGAAACAAAATATAGTATTTTTTAATTACTTTAGTGTTTAGTACAATAAATAATTGTTTTTAAATAATGTAACTTTATTGTAGTTGTTATATAAATATAATCAGGTTAGGTTTTCATATAATACTTAGATCTGTATAACCACAATTTGTTCGTTTATTTGTAAATGTAATAACGCTTAATTAAATCAAAACAATACTATAATTAAGAAACGAAAGGGTATCTAACAATATTCAAGAATATTATTTTGTATTTTTCGATACCTTTTCAGACGAAAATGTTAAAATCATAACACATTTAGCGTCCTGTGGGTTGTTGACAAGTTTCAATCATTACAAGTTTGATTATTTAAAATATTGCGAATATTCAATATTAAGATGAAAACAGATTTTGCAAACATGCGGCAAGAAAACTGCATATGTGGAAAATCATGTTATACTAGTCGCAAGGTGTGATTCCACTTTTACATGAATCCTTGAGCTGCGTTCTTTAAATCTTACGTCTATTGCTGAAAATTTGCTAAAAAAAACAAACATAACACTGTCACTGCGTGTATTTGTTTGCAAGGACATAAACCAGTTAATTAAGATATAAAAAATATGAAATAGCTTACAGTAAGGACTAGTGTGTTGTACACAAATATAAAGACATGTTTTAGTGCCGTTCGTATAATAAGTTCATATGGCACTGTGACGTTTGAAAACCAATTATGCACTTTAGATGTACCTCGAGCAAATTAAAGAATTTAACTACGCATTGTACAAATGTGTCAGGTACGAAAGCATTCAAAACAAACACTTAGAAAAGAGCATGTGTAAAACCGTCGCGTGGATTGAGAATCAAATATTCTGCTTAATTATTTCTTACAGAAGACGTTATTTCTTGAGAATATATCTCACAAGTATGAACAATAAAAGCTCGATTATTCGCTTCGTCGTAAGTAACAATAATTCACTAAATAACTTAGTTATTCGGGCAGCTGCTTTAAAGCGTTAACTTTCGCGTTTGTCGCTAACAGATAAATATTTCTAACATATTTATAAATAGCTGCCTGTTTATGTTTCTCGTCTGGCTAAGAGCGAAAGTACATAGGCAAGCAATTAAGTTGTAAATATATGCTCAATTCCGGGAATCAAAACATATTATGTTCAAAAAGCTACTAAAACAAATAAAAATTATTTCTAAAACTATCCGATCCAGACCCTTTAAACATCACTTCTTAAAAATTTATATTACAAGATTCGATAGACAAAGGTAATCTTCAACAATTATACTCTCACATCGAAACACTCGAAAAACAACATATTGGTTGAGCCAAGCTCATTGTTCGTGTTTGTATTGGACTGTCGGCCACTTCCATCGGATAGCAGTTAGGGGATGGCCACAACGCAGACCTTCATGAGTCCGTGCGCGAATTCCTGCTGTTTCAACCTTTGAGGTTGGGAGCTGTGCTATCCATTGGACAGCTCGTCCTTGAGCCACTGGGGCACGGGGCGGCCTAATCTCACTAGAAGTTTCGACAGTGCCGTGTTGTGCGGCGTGTAATAGCGCTTCAGGAACTTCGCCGAGCGCTCTTCCATCGGCGGGTAGATTCGGCCCTTCGATTTGCCCAAGCACTTCGTCTTCTCGCCGCTTGTCACTTGACAGAAGAAGCCTTTTTTGGGATCGTATCTGAAACATACGACATTATGTAAGTCATAAGGTATAATATCTAATAATTTAATCTTGTATCGACTTAAAGTGAAGTAAGGGTATAATGACCTATTATGGGGATATCCGGGCTGTAATAAATTTGAAACATAGGCATTCAAGGATCCGAAAAGAGTCCGAACGTTCGAGGACTATACAACAATGTTCGAAAATTTGACGAAGTCATCATTCTGTATTCCCGTTTCGGCTGTTTAAGTATCTTTGAAAGTTCTCAGTTCAAATAATTAATTTATGAAAAAGAGAAACGTGGAAACATAGCAGCAGTGGATATAAATATTAGCGTAAAAATATTTACTCTATTTCTATTATTCAGGAAGAAAACAAAGGAATACCTTACATATGTACTAAACGTAGACCCGCTTATCCTGAAGGTCTAAAGTATTTTTGTCAGTTTAAGCTTAATTTAAGCTTACTAAACATTAAAATCTACTACTGATTGACCAAAAATTTATTATCTCAGTAACATGTCGTTTCTCGGACATGAAGATTTCGTCATAAAATTTTTCTTCACAAAAGATTTTATGATACACGAGTTCTTCAAATTGTGCTTTATTTTGATTATAAAAAAATTTCTTCTTCAATTCTATACTCGTAGTACGTGAACAACCAGAGCTGACTGCTGATGATTTACGCATGTATCATTTTTTATTATTTATTTAATTTTAAGTATCTAGTAAAAAATGTATTATAGGTAATAAAATTAATTGCAAGTATCGTATTTTCGTTTACTGCTTTACAGATTGCGATATTCGTGGCTGGCAAATAATGCTGAAACTGTTCATATTAAATGAAATGGGTTTACATACGCATGTCTGATATTTAAAAATTAATCACGTGTTATTTATACCGTCGAGTCAATCCAAATGAAAAGGATTGATAAATCCTAAATATTACATTTCAAATAATATATAAACACAAAAAATCTTTATAGTGGTATTCAATCAATCAATCAATGGATGCGTTTGGCAGAAAAAAAGCGCTAGCAAGCGCTTGTAAGCAAAATGGCGATCGTAAGCGGTAAGCGCTGTCAAATCGTAAGTAGCTATTTTCCTCCAGGACACGATGTTAGTTTTAACCGGGGAACCTAACCTTATTTAAATATATGTTTGTAAAGTATTCATATTAAAAACTTACCAATCACGAGTTTTAATAGCATGTATATGTTTATTCATGTCATTATATTACTTAAAACTAATATTGCACAAAACAACTTATAAACTCTACTTCAAAACAAACAAATTAAATAAGCAAAATGGCGGATTGTGTCAGCGCTACTGAAGTAGCAATCGTGTCCTGGCCGAAAACTATTTTAGCACTTATAAGCGCTTGCTAGCGCTTTTTTCTGCCAAACGCACCCATTACTCGATGAATAATATCAAATAATAATAGTACTCGTTAACCTTGTTACACAACAGCCTGGCAAAAGTCCACTAGGTCTCCACGCTTGACAAGCAAGTTGGCAACCGCGTTTTTTAGTTTTTATTAGGAAAACGCTGCCATCCAGGGGACGATAGAGGATAGTGGATATCTTTACACCGCCACTACTCAGTTATAAAGAAGCTATAACACACATAATAATATAGTATTCACTAGCTATAAAGTAATATCCGATGTCTAGTAATGTATTTTATTGTAAGGCCCATGTCCGACACTGGACTTGAACAATTAAATATTTATCCCAATAAATATTAAAACTTAAATGTAGCGTGAGTGCAGCGCAAATACCCTTTTACGTTGAACGTTTTGCTAAAGTAAAAGCTCGTCTGTGGTGTTAATGAATACGTTTGCCTGGAGTGGTTCTGTGAGGAGATGACGCATTTCACCGCTCTACCAAATGAACCTTTTAATGTATTTCAGGTGGTGACTTAAAATTTTGTGAAACATTAGTCAAAGAAGTTTATAAAGCTATTCGTAGGGTTTGATAGTAATTGACGTTATAATGAATAAAGATATGTAAAAGTAATGAAGTTTCGGGGTTTCTATTAATAAATATTAATAAAAAAATACGTGTGGCACTCGGTGACTGCCGCGGTAAAGCTATTGCATAGCATTTTTTATCAACTTATGCAATTATAATTATTTATTTATTTTATTTATGCAGTTAAGTCTTTGATATTAAATCAAGTTACACTTTTTGAGCGTGGTGACCGATAAGAAAACAATTTTTTTCTCGTATTCAATAAATGAGAAGTTAATATTGTTTAAAATATTTTTAATACAATACATGTAGGTTATTCAGGAATTTTTATCATTGAGTTAGCAGCTAGTGTACACGCATACGTCTAGTCGCACGCACACAATCACCGTGCCGAAGTCTGCCGAACTGAAACGACGTTAGACGATGCACGGCTTTCAACGCCACACCTCCGTGGCCGTCGGAGTGGGGAGCGTGAGGTTTTTTTCGTTACGGAATTTCTGGATTCGGTCCCCGCGCTCAAGGCCCGCGATAGAAGCTATGCAATAGCTTAATAATTAAGGACGACAAACTAGCATACAATCCATCGGATGGTAAATGGATGCTGCAGGTTATATAAATTCGATAATCCTACACGTAACTATGCAGATTATCAGAAGTACGATAACTGGAGGGTTTATTTATTATATTACTGTTACCAAGTTTAAAAATTATTTAAATTAATATTAATTAATGCGAAAAGGCTATGAAGCACCGCATAAAAAGGAGACCGAGATAATAGGAAACACTGTATACTGTAATTCTATCTCATTCTCTCGCAGATTAAATATTCTATAGGTGTATATTATGTTTGTCCTTTTTAGTGTCCCTTTTTTGTTTCATCCCGTTTCAAATTATAATTCTAAAGAAGTTTTCACTACGGAAAGCAAAAGTATCGTCTCACTTGAGCAGCTTGTTGTAGTCAATGAGCGGCGTGAGCTTGAGGAACTTCTGCAGCGTGTTCATGACGGCGGCGGGCTCGGCGCGCAGCAGCGAGCCGTCGATCACGTGTAGCTGGTGCGCACTGTACTCGGCCAGCCAGCGCTCCAGGTGGTGGCTGTACTTGCCCGGGTTCAAGCAACGGTTCCTGTGGGCCGTTCAAACTGTAAGCTTAGACCGTTCGCACACAGTCCCGCTAAGGTTATGCATCATGCAGCATGAAAAACGGCTGTGAGCACGCTTGAATAACATCAACGAACAACATGAAGAACATCGCGGCGGTGGTATTGTCCATGAGCCCTCGGCTATCTCTACATCGACGGCACTTCGCTCTCAAGCACAATCACGAACGCTCATATAAAATAATTAATTATTTAACTGTAACTGTTCAGCGAATAAACATGTTTTATTATTATACAGTTCATCTTTATTTATCGGCTCTAGCAAATAATAAATAATTATTGGCGTACGTGAAGTGTACTCATTGCCATTTTTCATTGTGCATCGTACATAACCTGGACGGGACGTACAGCCAGATGGACTGTGTTGAAGCACAACATTTAAATAGCCGACGTTTAAATAGCTTACATAATTATTATTAATTAGAAGATAGGTAGATATATCACGCACGCAAGTTAATTTAAACGTTATCGCTGCACGCGGGGGTCCATTTGACTACATTTTTCCCCTTTCTGTCACGGACGACATTCCGTGGTTACCCAGGGCTTTCATCAAAGAGTTATACAATACACTGCGTATAGTTTTTTTTTTAATTTACAACAGTTTCACTTTAAAATAATTTTTTATAATTTTAACATGTCTAAAATAGCGTTTATTAAATTTAGAATGAAAAAAAAACTCTACATCTGACGTAATAGACTATAGAAAATATCATAAAAATCTTATGTTTTCTGAGAGATAGCGCTGCAGCTATCTCCTTAACGCCAGACATAAACGAACCGTCTAACAGCGTCAAAGGTGCGAGGTGTGAGACGTCTGGTGCTGCGACCGTCACTCAGCCTGCCAAGCGAAATGATTAAGGCAAGTCCTCACAAAGCAGTGCACTTTTAAAGCTGATCAATTAATAATAAATTTATTTTCTCGTCTTCATTAAGTAAGTCACTTTGTATGAACTTTAAATACACTTTAGGCCTTTTTATGAAGATGCTATAGGGGTAATGTTTGCCATAGTCGCCACTTAAGACACGCAAGAAGTCGATGGATTGCTCAGAACCGTGCTATTTACCATTCCTTCCTACTAAAATTAAAAAAAAATCTTAACATTTTTACATATTCTAACTTAGTTAACTTTTGAAAAATATCATTTTTATGTTTTCGTCTGATTCTATAGTACAAGAATCTAAGTGTTAATTTATATTAAAGATTTACGTACACTAATTGGGTACTTTCATACATACTTGCACTATCACATATAAATTCAAATAACAAGACCCTTAACGAAGTTAACTTAAGTAAATCATGTAGCTTAGATTTTGGAGTTCGTGTCGTGAGTATCGTATGGTTACTTAGATAAGGCGTAACTTAGATGTAACAAATGAAGTTTATATCTGCTGTTTGGAAATCATGATGAAAATTCACGGAGAAATAGATTCGAATTTAAATTCAACATGTTTCATATTCAATTCATATTTAGGTCTAACGTTACTCACCAAGACATACATATACATAAACACTCACGCCTGTCACCCAGAGGGGTAGGAAGAGACTACGGACTTCCATTTGGCACGATCCTGACATACCTCTTTCGCCTCCTTTACATCCATATATCTACGCATACATGCTCGTCGGTTAAGGGTACTTCTAACGTGGCCCATTTTCAAAATATCGCCAATTTGGTCGATAAACTTTTTCCTAGGGCGTCCCTTCCCGACTCGGCCATTCACATCTGCCATATAAATTTGCTTAGTCACTCTTTCCTCATTCATTCTTTCTACGTGACCAAACCACCGAAGCATTCCTTTCTTAATCCTGGTCACAACATCATCTTGCATACCACATTTATCTCTTATCACGCAATTTCTCACCCTGTCATTCAGATTACACACTAGCATATTCCTTAAAGACCGCATTTCTACAGCATTTATTCTACTTTCGTGCTTCTTCGGCCACACCCAGCTTTCACTACCATACATTAAAGTAGGGACTAACACAGCATTATGAATTACCATACGTGCCTGTTTTGACAAATTCTGGTTCTTCATAATAGAGTGTAGTGCCCCATTCACTCTATTCCCTGCATTTACTCGTCGTTCTATATCCCTATCATATCTACCATCCCTGCTAAATACACATCCCAAATACACAAACTCATCCACTTGCTCAATCAACTCTCCTTCTATTCTTATTTCACATACCGTTTTGCTTTCTTCTCTTTCAAAAACCATCACTTTCGTCTTACTTGCGTTCACTTTCATTCCCCTTTCTTTTAATTCCCAGTTCATTAATGTAACCATCATTTGCAACTCTGCCGCCGATGACGCAAGTATGACTTGATCATCGGCATACAAAAGGCATTTGACGGTTAACTCGCCCATTCTTAACCCACATTCTTCATCTTTCAAAGTTTGCAAACACCGGTCCATAAATAGGTTGAACAGCCAAGGGGAAGCCACACAGCCCTGTCTGACACCTTTTTGGATGCCAAACCAGTCCGAGTAGACCCCATTGATCCTGACACAAGCACTAGAGTCCCTATAAAGAGACCTTAATGCCTGTATCAAACCAGCGCTCAACCTATATGAGTTCAGTGTTTGCCATAACACATTCCTGTCCACTCACCACGAATTAAGAAAATAAACCAAAGTCTTATACAATTGTTTGGTTAACATTTTAAAAGTATGTAAGGAATTTATTATGTGGTAGGTATGGCTCTTTACTCTGTGGTATGGTTTCGTTTCTGTCTAAGAGGCCATCTGGGATGGTGGTAACTACCGCCCCGCCCCTGTCACCTGTTTTGCCGCTAAGTAGAGCAGCCACTGCTATGTTCTGGCTTAAGGGTTTAGAAATCCAGTATTATTATAGACTATGATTCATTATATTCCAAGGCGTTGAAGACGGCGTAATTGAATATGATTTTCTCACTTGTTTCCTTCAATATCAATCTCGTAGACTAATTAAGTATAAAGCACGATGCTTCCGAGAATGAACGGAATAATCATCACATTATGCAACTAAGTTATACATAAATGACCTAGAGCAGTGACAGGAAGCAAAGATTAACATAATATATTCAGCGCAAGCCGTACATGCTATTGGTATAGGTATATTAAACTCTGTTGTGTGTACACTACATGTACATGATCTAGTGAACACTACAATATAGAAGTCATTTGTGTAAATAGTAGCTAATCTTGTAGAATACCGAAATTTTTCTTTATTTATTAAAACTAAATTGTGTAGACTAAGAAGAAAAATATTTAAAAAATTAGGTCACGTGACGGAGAACACCACTAAGAGATCATGATTCGAAATTCTCGACCATTGTTTTCGATATGACCATTTTAACTTTTTGGCTTTTCATAATGATTTTTAATATTTACATAGTTATTTTTAGGTTTCTTTTCTCCTAGGTAGGACATTACTTAAATAGTGATTCCAAAGAAGTGTAGTCAGGAACTACACATCCTTGGGATCAAATTTCTTTACATTACATTAAAAATTGTTAGGTAAAACGAGCCAGTTATTGATTTTTTGGCATATTTATCTGTGCAAGGTTTGGAACAGTTTGAAAACTATTTCAAATTTCGATACGGTTGATTCTTAATTTAAGCTCTTTTCTGTATGTTGCCGGTGCTATTTCTGATTAATGGATGGATTTTAATATACCAGCTACCCAAATACTAAAATTTTACAGTTTACCAGTCAAGGTTAACAAGGTTTCATAATACCAGGTTCCCAGTCGAAAAGGAAGTTTAGTTTTTTTATATTTACTTCGATAGTATTGCAAGAGAAATAAGTTAATGTGATGTATTTTTACCAAATATATTACTTTTTTAAATTTTAATATTATTTGCTCCATAAAATCAACAAGTTTTGCCTAGTACGAACCCTATTACGCAAAAATACGTCCCGACCTGGAAGAGGTCTTTCTCCAGATGAGGAATATTCACCAATTTATAATTAAGATAACGTAATTATTAGAGACAACAAAATTATTTATTCTATTAATCTTATATTCTTTGCTGGTAGCATCGAATGCAAAGTGAAATTGACATTTCAAACAAAAAATAAAACAGATAAAACGATAAAAATGTTTGTTAAAAGGGCCAATATAAAACGTTTTCGGGTGAAATGTCATATAGGAGAGTTGTCAAACGGATCACAAACATTTTTATTTTTCTAAACCGTTTTTCGTTGTTTTACAATTGTTATGTGGGAATTGGGATTTTAAATTGCTTTTAAATTTCATCCAGTTCTATATTATAAGTATGTATTTGTAATAGATTTATTGTTAAAACGAACAATGTACCGAACAAATGGAACGAACAGAACGAATTTCTTTATTCGTCTGGGACAAAAGCGAGCATATCCCGCAATCTGCGCCTTACTTCAAAACATTTGAAAAGTGAACGGAGAGTAGTCTCTACGCTAAAGTCCCAGCAAATGAATACAGTTTCAATTCAGAGAATATTCAATGGGAAACAGAGTTACCGGTTTAATATCTTGAGAACTTAGCGCTTGTTTCGCTCCATTTTCCGTATTAATATTGTGGGCATATTCAAAAAGAACTCACCTTAAATCCTTAAGCGGCTTGGGGGCGGAATCGTTCGCAGTAATGATGGTATGGAAAGTGTAATTTTTAGCGACGGGGTCACCGTGCGATCGTATGTGTTGATACCACGAATACGCCCTAAGAAAAAAAAACATTTATGGAGTCAATTAAAACAGAAATGTATAAATAATAATAATTTCTTTATGTCCAAAAGGTAGTACATCCAGATATTTGCTTAACATTTAAGAAAGCTACATTGGTACATATACTTGAAACCTAGCATCTGCAGCCAAATTAGGAGACCTGTCAGCTGTTAGCGCCATATCCCTACAGTTTACTTATATAAATATTAGGACGCAGGCAAAAGTTAAATAATTAAATACTATCTAAAAATTTGTACATTCTGCTAACATAGCTTACGTATAATTAAATTTATTGGATCACATATTGTGTTTTATATATTAAGTTATTACTTATACCAAGGTACAAACCAGATAAAAATTTATGTTTGTCGTTCCTCTCTCTTTGAAGATGTGTGTAAGAAGTAATTGTGTTATGAGTGTAATATGTGTAAGCAGTTATAGGAGAGGATTATGTAAAATGTGTATGTGAAAGTTATATAAGAATTTAAGTCTGAATACTAAGAAGGTTTTCAGTGAAACTGAAATAATTATAGGTTAATTTTTGTGGGTAATTATGTACAGTTTTTAACAATCTATTTAATTAAGGTGGTAAATGTCTAATGTTTTATTTAGTTTATTATATAAGTATGGTCCTAAAAATGCAATGAATCTTCTTATAAAAGTTGTTTTAAGACGCCTTACTGATGCACTTTTGAAGATAAAAAAGAAATTGAAGAACAATTAGAAAAATTACTACAGAATGAGTTGATAGAAGAATGCTACAGTCCATTCGCTGCACCTGTTACTTTAGCATTAGCAAAAGAAGAGGAAAATAAAAATCCCGACTGTGTATATCACAGTTCGATGACATCGGTACACGACGATTTTTGATCGGGATTCAGAGACTTGAATAAAATAGTGGTAACTCAAGTTCATCCATTTCCGTTAATTGAAGAATAATGATGAAGACGAAGAATTGCAAATTATTTTCAACCCTAGACATAAACTCTGCATTTTGGTCAATTCCTCTACGAATCGAAGATAGAAAAAACACAGGAAGAGGACATTTTCAGTGAACATGACTATCTTTTGGATTAGAGACCTCACCAGCAATTTTTCAGAGGATATTAAGTAATATATTGAGGAAGTATAAACTTACTGATTTACAATTAAAACTACATAGACGATATTCTTATATTTTCAAAATCTTTTCTGAACACATTAATCATCTATCACGGCTGCTGGTAGCAATAAAAACAGGAGGTTTCAGAATAAAATTCAAAAACTGCATATAATACAAATACACATAATAAAAATACAAAATTATTCTATCAGACCAGTAAAGGACAATTTGATTGCAATAAAAAAGTTTCCTGTTCCAAAAACGCAGAAAAGTTTGTGATTGAAAAATTTACGAGCAAAAATTCTAATGCTAACCAGTGGATTGATATTTTTGAATAAAAATGCATACGCTTTGACTTGAAACTGATGAAAAGATAATTGAAATACTTAGATTGTTTATGGATGGTTCTTGTGTAGACTGTTGTGGTACAGCTCAATGATTATAAAACTAACGATTAGCTCAGATTAGTTAACATGGAAAAACAAATTCTGTGAAACATTTGCAAACAAGAGATGGAACTCAGTAACTTACGCACTATTATTTAAATATAAAAATGGTTCATTGTTGGATTATGCTATGAGAAAAGAAAAACTTTTATTGGTTATGAGAAGATCAATTGACACAGGTACATTGGTGGGTTTTATTGCAGCTAGCTTATCCAAATTTATTCATAATAAACTTGATAGAGAAGCATTAAAAGATACAGTGGATTTGTTTAGTGAAGTAAGTAGGTAAGGACACATGGTAGAGAAAAAAAAAATTTCAGGTAAGAAAAAAAAATCCAAATCTAAAGAACTAATAGAAAAAATGAAGATTTCAATCCGTGTAAGATAAAGCGGCGAAAAATTAAATAAAGGTACTAGTTACCATTCTGAAGCTATATGTTGGTTTAAACCAAAAGAGGATGATAAGGTAAAGAAAAATTTCTTAAACATGTAAACAATTCAGTGATAGAGGCCGGGTTAAATGAAACTGAGAATTGGACCTTACGAGATTGTTGAGAAAATTTCAAACTCAATATACAGAATTGAAACAGGATACAAAAAAACTGAATCAAAACTTTTCCATATCACGAAAATTACTCCAGCCCGTACATTTGACGAAGAAGAACCAGAGGATGAGTTAGTTAGGTGAAAACTGTTGTAAATCTTCTTCCCAAAGGGGGGACATAAAAAGAAAATGTATTTCTTTAATTTATCCATTATTTTTATCTGTATCTGTGGAGATAGGATCTGTGAAAGAACGATGGCAGTATTGTCTGTTGAGCAATGACAAGCCGAATGTGAAAAATTGTTATTTTAGTTAATTATTAATAAACTAAAATAACAATTTTTCACATTTTCACAAACAGAATTATTACAAAGCAATCCCAATGATAAGATATCTATCATCTTATATATATATTATACAGATAATAATATCTAATAAATATTAATACTACAACAGCTCCTAATAAGGGCTCGTTGTATATCATCAAACACGTTTACATTTCTAAAGCATGTTCGGATTTAAAAAGCAAATTTTCGGATTTACAGGATTTGCTCTATTTAATGAGTTTATAATTTTTATACACTACATTTTACTTAGTTTGTGCACATTGCAATACATAAACAAACGGTGAGAAGCCTTTTAAAAGCCGTGATAGCGCAGGTGCAAAGCGCTTGCTGTGAATTTCACCCGAACCTCGCCAACATCAATGTCGTTGAAAGAAATTTTAAGTGCTGTTTTAGCACGTGCTCGGCGGTGAAAAAAAAACATTGCGAGGAAACTTGCATGTCTGAGAAAAAAAATATTAGAAGACATGTGAAGTTCGACAGTACGCACTGGGACAGCGCAGTGGACATTTCCTTGTCCTGTATCATTTGAGAAAAGAGAGGTCACCTATGTCCAACACTGGGACGTATATAGACTGTATACCTTAAACCTTAGAGATATGTAAGATTTTTTTAAGTCGTGTTTTCATTTAGATTGTTTAAAGTATATAGTATGACGCTATAAAATTTACACAATATATTGTATTGATTTTTTAATAATTACAGATATCTTATTTTATTAATTTAATATTATGGTTATAGTCATATCATGCATCATTTTTTCTCTTTTATGCAACATCAGACGCAGCTAAAGGGTCGGTCGTACTTGTGTGGGTTTCAATAAAATCAAATCCTGTAATTGGACGTAGTGTCGCAACAATGTGTCACAGGAAGTAATAAAAAAATATTAAAAAAATATGTGTTTAAGCCCATATTAGAAAAATAAATAAATACAACTTCATGTTTGCCAAGCCGCCTTGTCGTACGACTTCGCGAACTTGGAGTTCATTAAATGAAACTAAGTTCAACTAACAAGCACGCAGCGCTTCCTCATCACCATGGGTGCTGTAAAGTGCTCGAAACGTCGGGAATTTAAAATAAGTTAACATGCGCAAACACTACACATTTCACTTAAATGTGTAGTGTTTGCGTAAACATAAGAAATCATTATGGAGTACATTACCTCATCTCGTTCCGTTGGTGACATAAGAGGCAATTAAGGAAAATTATCCGTAGAACCTTGTGGCCTTGTCATATTGAATGCATAATGATGTTGCCCAGACCGGCGACGGGAAGTAGCGTCAATGGCGCGAAACACCTAAGACTGGAATATCTAATGCACTTGGCAAGCGATTACATTAAATCATTCCAATAATTATGGTAGGGGGTCAGACTGTTGTTTTACGTACTACCAAGAAAGAAAATAGTATGTAAAATCTGGGTTACATTATAATGAGAAACATTTCTTGTTAGAGAAAATAATAAAAATAGCCTATTTTACATAGAAATGAAATTAATGATATGCGTACATCCATAATAAAAAGCGAATATATTTTTTTTGTATTTATAGAATTTTAGAAAACATGACGAAAAAGGTTCAGTCATTTAGGTAAGTTTCGTAGTACAGTTGCTAGCTTTTGGCACGGGACAATTTGTATAACCTAGAGATAAAAGTTCCAGGAGTGTGCAAACACAAGCGGAAACAATAAAAGGAATAATCATATTTCAAAATAATACACGTACCTTTTAGAGGGAGAAATAAGAATAATAATGATTTTTGCAGTAGGAAGAAGTGCGTGGGCACGCCTTGGCACCAGCTCACCGTCGAAGTACGTCGCTGATTTTTCGAAGGAAATCTGGCTCGAGTTACTCAGGCTCGCCGGGAAAAAGTTCAAGTACCTGGACAATGAAAGTGTTTCAAAGTGCGCAAGTCTAAAGTAAAAAAAATCCGTACCTTCATTTAAATAGCCATTTTTTATTTAAATTCATTTAGTACTAAAAACCAAGACTAGATTCAAAATTGATGTTACTACTGCATTCTATAAACTGGAATTTCATAGAAAAATTACAATTATAGTGTGATATGGTACGTTAGAACTGTAAATTATTCTCTGCTGCTGCAGCTGGACGAAACCTGCATGTTTACAAAAAAATCTTATTTCGAGGACATCCGTAATCGTACATAATATATAAATAAAAAAACATATATATATATATATATATATATATATATATATATATATATTATATATAATATAGTCGGAGCGGTATTATCATTTGCTTAACAAACGTAATATTACCTGAACTGCAAAAGCACGCTCTTTAGTTCATACGAATACGATCAAGACAAGAATAGGAACGTAAATGACCTCAACCTGTCGTCTACTGACACTTGAAAAGTACTGCTGGTAACTAAAATAATTTGCATACAGAACTTTTTTCTACTTTTTTTTTAATTAAGTCTTAATATTAGAAAATCAACAGAAGTTGGTAAAGTTACAGCCTATAGTTTACGTTCCACTCCTGAGCGTAGGCGTCTTTTCATTACTCGGAGGGTTTTAGCAAGGAGTTTTAACAGACAAAGAAGTGTCCACCGCGCCTCAATGCATGTTGGCGGACTCTAAATGTCTTTGATTTTTTTTAATTTCCCAGACATGTAGGTTTCCTCTCGGTGTTTTCCTTTACCGCTGAGCGGGTGGTAAAGCAGTGCCTAAAATTGTAATCAACAATTTCATTTATGCCGGCGGGAATCGAACCCGAGTTGCTCGCGTATTGTGAAATTTATAGCGAGTGCTGAGCCCTTGAACTGCATGACATTGAGGTTTTGACTGGGATTAAAATAATTTTAACAACAATTAATAACACAAGATGTTTAAAGATGATGAAGAGAGCTTAAGTTTTATTATAAACACAAGTTATAAAAACCTAAGTATCTTTCTTTTTAAACAGTCAGTGAAATATTTTACATATCTACGTAATTCCATGTTCTATTTTTATGATAAAAAACACAGTGACAATGAATATAATAACGATGTTGACCACTCTGAGAATAATTCAGATAAAAATAGAATAGTAGACCTAGATTGAATTGATTGAGAATAATACTCATGGTTCTTGTGTAAATATTTCTTCAATAAAACCAAAAAGGAATGCTTCAAAGCACGGTCCGCCATTTTTCATTATTTAAATTGTTTTTATAGTAGTGGGGCAAACGAGCATACGGCTCACCTGATGGTAAGTGATTACCGCCGCCCATGAACAACTGCAACACCAGGGGAATTGCAGATGCGTTGCCGGCCTTTTAAAAAGGAGTAGGCTCTTTTCTTGAAGGTCACTAAGTCGTATCGGTCCGGAAAAATCTCTGGTGGTAGTCGCTTCCACAAGAAAGTTGTACGAGAAAGAAAACTTCTTTTATATGGCATAATAGTGGACCGCCAGTCATCCAGATGGTATGGATGGTATCGCGAGTTTTATCGCGATGTGCGATGGTGAAACTGTGCAGTTGGAATTAGTCCGAACAATTCCTCAGAGCACTTCGCGTTGTAAATGTGATAAAATACGCAAAGAGATGCAACATCTCTTCGCAGTGGCAGTGAAAAAAGAGCTCGGTCGCCGACGATTCGAATACCCATACGCTAGATGCGATCAAATGGAAGGAGCTGGCACTGGGGAGCCCCAGGCCAAAGATGGGAATAGTATTCCAAGTGCGACTGAACCTGCGCCTTGTAAATTTGCAGGCGGTGTGCCTGCATGAAATACTGTCACGCTCTGCTGAGCACGCCAAGCTTTTTAGAGACCAATTGGGCTCTCTCTCCAAAGTGACTAAGAAACTGCAAGTTACTCGATATGTCGACGCCGAGGATTCCGATACTGGCTGAGGCAACAAGGGGAGTGCCTTGAAACTGAGGAGATACGCTCTTTTTTAGCTGTAAACGCGCAAACTTGAGTTTTCTGGGGATTGAACTGGACTACGATTAGTCTCCTCCAGTCCGAGACTTTGTTCAACGAAGTCTCGACTTCAAACACAAGTTAATCCCAGTACTCGGCGACGTTTTCACGAGAAATATTGGCACGGCCGGTGTATAAAGCATCACCAGTGCCGTCGTCCGCATAGCAATGAACGTTACCGCTTTGCAACATGTCATTGATATGCAGAAGAAACAGCGTTGGTGATAGCACACAGCCTTGTGAAACACCAGCGTTAATATGTTTGTAATCGAAGCATGTACCGTCTACTACGACCTTCATGCAATCTGCAAGAAAACTGGTTTCCATCCAATTGTTTAATTTCTCGGGAAGCCCATAGGAAGGAAACATCGTAAGAAGCGCTTTGTGCCAAACCCGATCAAAGGCCTTCGCTATGTCCAAACTAATGACCAACGCCTCCTCCTTGGACTCTACTGCCTCCGCCCATTTATGAGTTAGCTAACCCAAATGATCACCAGCCGTGCGACCGCACGGAAACCGTACTGACAGTCACTAATCAGCTAGTGATCCTCAAGGTACCCCATGAGCTGGCTGTTAATAATGGATTACATTATTTTAGAGAACAACGAGGTGGATAGCGATAGGCCTATGTTGGACGGATCAGAGTGGTTACCTTTTTTAGGAATTGCCAAAAAAAAAAACAAAAATGAAACCAAAAAAAAAAAAAACAACCACCGAACAAAAAAAACACCGTCCATTGCTGAATATAGATCTCCCCCATAAATTGCCAAATGGGGGAGGGGGGGAATACTAGCCACATTTTTTTACATTATAATTGAGTTATTATGAGATAGATGTCACTGCGCATCAACTTTTTTCAGTTCCGCTCTGTCGCCATTTACAATACCCAGGAGTTGATATACTATCCCATGTAATGGATACCCTTACTCGCTATTACTTGTTGTAGTGTGAGACGTTATCTGGCTAGGCAGAGTAGCGACCTGTCCAAGGTTACTGACATTAACTGTAGCTATAGACCGTGTCAAGTATAAAAGTAAACCAGAACAAGTTTTGACAGTTACTATATAGGTTAATACGTACCAGTCCAATCCCTTTAAGTAGTTGTTGTTGTTGAAGAATTGGAGCTCCTCGTAGGTGCTGGGGCTGGGCAGGTTGGGCGCGAGCGCGGGGTGCAGCGCCAGGAACGTGTGCAGCGCCGTGCTGCCCGTCTTCTGCGGCCCCACCACCAGCACGCGCGGCAGCGAGCCGCACCACTTGCTGCGCGACCAGATGCGCCGGTGCCGCACGTCGTCGCACGGGTTCTGCGTCGTTTGTTACAATATTTACAAAAAATGTTAAACAAATCCTGCAGATTCAGCATAACCGGTGTGAGGGTATTTGCACTGCGTTTAACAATTTTATGCCCAAATACTCAATCGCTACTAAACTTCAAGATTTCGTTAAATGTAGTGACGTCACATTCACTTTCACTTAAAGTGATAGAGAAACACGAGACTTAAAGGCATCATAAAATTGAGCAAAGTTTGAGTATTTGAGCATTAATAAGCGCTAAATAAAAGTGAATGATAATGTAATATTTTCTTTGTAATTTTGCTTTATTCCGAACGATTTTGTTAGTGGCATTATAATATCTCTAGTGCAGTAAATAACTTACCATTATACTAGGAAGTTATCGAAGTAGCCGAAAACGACCACGAAGATTGTTTTAACGCTCAATTAAAAAACACCTTTTAGCATTTCAAAAATCATGATTTCACGAGTAGTGATTGGCAGGTTATTTCATAAGTACCATTTAACAAATATATATTAATAATTAATGTGTATATAATATAATATGTTTTTATGTGTGAGTGTGTATATGTACGTATGTGAATTTTTTTACTTTTATGTTGATACTTAAAAATGTATACTTTGAATGAATGGTTGATTCAATATTTTAAATGGAAAGTTAGCACCTATAAGGACGCGGGCGCAATATCGAGTTAATACTTATCAGGGCTCCGCTGAAAATCAGCGCTGCTGCAGCACCTGTGGTAACATATGCTGAGACGGAATCCTTTTTGGCATCACATCACTCACTCTTGCCGAGATTTATTTTTAATTATGTTTACCATCTTGTATCTTGTGTGTTTTTATGTTCTTATTTATTTCTAAAGGTATATTTTGTGAGTGTATTGATGCTAATAAAACCGATGTCTATGTTTATGTCTAAGATATCACTAACATTTATAATATGTATAAAATAATTTCTTTAAATTATAAATGTAAAAGCTAATAGTAAAAAGTATAGTAAAATTAGATTCCGCAATCAACCAAATTCAAACAAAATAAACTATAGATGCGTTGCCAATTTACAATTGCCAGTAAAATTAGAATCTGCATGCAATCAAATTCAAACAAAATAAACTATAGATGCGTTGCAAATTGCCAATTGCCAGTAAAATTAGATTCTGCATGCAATCAAATTCAAACAAAATAAACTATAGATGCGTTGCCAACTGCTAATTGCCAGTAAAATTAGATTCTGCATACAAACAAATTCAAACAAAATAAACTATAGATGCGTTGTCAATTGCCAATTGCCAGTAAAATTAGATTCTGCATGCGATCAAATTCAAACAAAATAAATTATAGATGCGTTGCCAATTGCCAGTAAAATTAGATTCTGCATGCAATCAAATTCAAACAAAATAAACTATACAATAGACCCCATACAAAGACACCCTAATTAGTATATTATGTTATAATCATAATACATACACTGAATTTTTAGTTAAACATTTTTATGCACTGATTATTTATCAAATTAGTTATACTAATTCCGGAAGAATGTTGTGGTCACAGTACAAATCCACGAACGCAAGGACTTTAACGTGCTTGAAATAAAGTTCTATTTGCTTTATTTTTATCGAATGACATAATTAGTAATAATACTGTTACGAGCTTGAGGTTCAAATCCAATAGTTCCCCGATCGCATCTTGCAGCATTCGTATTTATATAAATTAGCAGCGAAATATCTAGAATATTCAAGTAAACACCCGCAAGGTACCGAGAGTTCGTGTTTCAACTTCAAGAAGTTTAGTTCTTCGGTTCGAAACTAAATGGCGCTAGTGACGTCGACTTGAGCGCGTAACAATACAAATAAAACCGTACTCTTAAAAGTCTTATTGCCTTAAGTTACGGTCTATTTCAGTTCGTTTTGGCTGTACAGATTTAGTGTGACTGTAATTTACGTAGTTTTAATTATTTTTGGGATAAAAAATTACCTATATTAAAAATGATAGAAATCGATTCAGTAAACGATTCTGAACAAACTACTTCCAGGATGTGCGTTATGTTGCATGTTGTAGATGCGTTGCCAATTGCCACGCCTAAGTTCTATAAATAGCCCCACAGCCTGTAATCATTATTTATTACAGGCCAACCTGTTACTATTACGAGTGCACTTCTGCTCGGCGACAAAAAAGGTAAAAAGGTAGAACCTACCCAGACTGATTCCGAAGCAGGCAATGGGTCTTACCAACAAGTAACTGAATACCGTTAGCGTTACAGCCTATCTAAGTCCGCTGCTGAACATATGCTTCCCCATAAATTGACTCATAGGGGCACATATTTGCCATAGTTGCCACGCTTGGCAAGCGGGTTTGCAACCGCAGTTTTTTTTTATTTTAAATCGTTATTAGGAAGACGCTGCTGCCCATCTCCTGATTTGTTTCCCTCTGTCGACCTACACCACGGGATGATGTGGAGTAGTGGATATTCTGACACCGTCACTATACGGCATCCAACTGCAAACTGCCGGTAAATCAAAAACTTACCCCCCAGAGCGGATTAAGTTCATCGGGTCGAAGTTGGAAATACTTGTCGGCAAGTGCGAGAGGCGGCGCTGAAGCCAGTCGTACGTTCGTCCAGCAACGTAGGAACTTCACAACCGACTCAAACGTGTAAAGCGCGAGCCGGTCGTTGCCGTAGTTCGACATATGTGTCATGAAGATGTTGATCTGCGGATTATTGGTAGGTCAGTAACTGTATTTTAAGATTACTATTATTCAATCATCACCATATATTACAAGTCCCCTACTGAACATAGGTTCCTCCCATTGGTTTCTTGAAAGAGGTGATATTTGATAAAGTTGATAAACGCTTTTTTTAATTTAGTTAAGTAATATTTTATTCATAGTTTAGTTGAGAATAGTTTAGTTGTTATCAGGGAAATATCAACCCAACTCGAAATCCTCACAATCCTGTTCAGTTTCCCTTTGTCGCCTTTTACGACTCCCAGCGGAATTTTAGGGAGTTGTTGATTTTAGCGTTAAAGCCAAACACAAAATGAACACGGCAATATTTTAAAGATTAAAAAAGTAACATTTATGAACATTTCAAAAAAAAATCATGAAAAAAATTGTCGCAGAACCGTGAAAAGAAAAGAAAGTAAGTGCCTACATAAGTCCCATCCCACAGCTGGGTACAGCTATCCTCTCATTTATGACATAATGCGACTAATGACGATGATATCTATGTATTTCTTAAAATGACTTAAAAAAATTACAATGCAGAGCTAGGAAGCGCACTGTAAGTTTTTTTAAATTGCGCTTATTTACGAAAAAAGTACTGCAAACTGAAATATTCTCACACAATTAGAAAAATAAAGTAACAGTAAGTATATAAGTTCCTTCGTAATTACATGGCGACAGTCGTCTTGATATATCAGGAGAGGTTTATTGGAGCAGGGCAAAGCCGATCGCACTGCCCGCTAATGCGTGTAAGTGAACTACTTTTTTAAATTCGCTCCGTAGTAAACATTTTTCACATTCACATATAATTAGTATATAGATAAAGGTAGTTCATATCGCTGTTCCTTTATGACCCCCTGTGTTGTAAAGGTTTTCATAAGAGTAACAATACGACGTTTGCAAAAACAATATGCGTATAAAGTCGTATCGACTTACGAGAGGATTTGAATCGCAATGCGTTGGATCCTTCAAATGGGAGGAGTTGGCACTGGGGAGCCCCAGCCCATAGATGGCAACATGATGTGAGGCCGAACCTGCACCTTGTAAAGTGGCAGGCGTTGTGTCGGCATGAAACACTGTCCCGTTCTGTTGAGTATGCCAAGCTTTTTGGAAGCCAATTTGGCCTTCTCTTCCAAGTGACCACGAAACAATAGTAAAAACAGAACAGTAGGCTATCATCTAAAAACTGCACCGAATGTCGCTAATATGTGTGTACGTGCCTGGCACGTGACAGTACGAACTCGTCCGCACGAGCCACAGCACGCACACAACGACACTTGTTTAGTCGGAAAGGTCTGACCGCGCTCCGCAATCACCTTTGTTTGAGACTTTGATAACTTTTAATAAAATTTTACTAGCAGTATTTTTTCGTTTTATTTTTTCTTTTTGTAAAGTAAATTGATATATGGGTTTGTTTAAAGTTTGGTTTTAAGAAAATTAGCTTTTTATTAATAGGTTATATCACGATATCTATGTATACATAAATACATACCTCATAAGTACATAAATTATCGTATCACATAACATCAAATTAATTTTAAACTTTAAATCTGAACTGACACCATATGTTCAGTGTTAATTTACTCGTATTTGGCATTTGTTGTAATGTAAAGCTGGTAGTTTTTGTTTTGACAAACATTGATTCTTTAAGAGGTAACTAAAAAAATGATTAACAAATATGATGCATAGGTACGTATCCGTACGTTTTATGTTTGTAAATACATATTATAAATGCTTATAAAACTAAATGACACTTAGCTGTTAAACAAAAAGACAGTGACAACCCTGCAATAGTAGGCATTTAAGTCTCGCGCAGCGCGGGAGTAATCCTACTATTCTGTTGTTACTATAACGAAACTGCAGGTCACTCGATATGTCGACGCCGGGGATTCCGATACTTACTCCGATACGTGTCTTGAAACTGAGGAGATACAAGAAAGGGATTCTTTTTAGCGGTAAACGCGCAAACTTGTAGTTCCAGGGGATTCAACTGGACTATATTTAGTTGCCCCCAATCCGAAATTTTGTTCAATAATGTTTCGACTTCAGACACAAGTTTGTTTCGGTACTCGGCAACGTTTTGCCGACAAATATTGGCACGGCCGGTGTACAGAGAATTACCAGTGCTGTCATCTGCATAGCAATGAATTTTACCGGTTTGCACCATATCATTGATATGCTGAAGAAACAACGTTGATGATAGCACGCAGCCCTGGAACACCAGCGTTAATGGCTTGCAATCGGAGCATGTACCGTCTACTACGACCATGACGCTCCGATCTGCAATAAAACTGGTGATCCAATTGCACAATTTCCAGGGAAGCCCATTGGAATGAAGTTTTGAAAGAAGCGCTTTGTTCCAAGTCAAATCGAAGGCCTTCATTATGTCAAAACTAACGGCCAACGCTTCCCCCCTTGGAATCTACTGCCTTCGTCCATCTGAGTAATCCAGAAGATCACCAGCTGACGGAACCCGACGGAAACCGTACTGACGGTGACCAATAATTTGGTGATCCTCAAGGTACCTTATGAGCTGACGGATCTGAGCGGTCATCTTTTTTAGTGATCGGGTGCACCAAAGCTCTCTTCCATGAGTTCGGAACTACGCCTATGGAGTAGAAGTACCAGAAAAGACGCATTAAAACCAGTGCCAACTCCAGAGCACACGTCTTCAGCACAATAGGTGGGACACCATCAGGCCCATTCGACTTGTTAACGTCCAGGGAGAAGAGTGCTTTACGCACCGAGTGCTGGGTAAACAGCACATCCCGCATGGAGCACTCACACCGCGGGATGGTCGGCAGTGTGTTCCTCCCATTATCGAGAGTCGAGTTAAACGCAAAGAGAGAGCTTTACAGATCGGCTTTCTCCTTTGCAGCATGAGCCAGTGAGATGGCAGAGATGGCTGACAGAAGTTCACTTGGACAGCCTTGGCGAGAGAGATAGAATACACATGTTCCCGCAGAAAATCGAACTAGTTTCTCGCCAACTCTGCCGATTTGCTCTGACTTTGCCCTGGCAATGACACTTTTGTAGGACCTGGAGGCAGAATTATATTTTCTTTTAAGAGCGCTGGTGTGTGCGTCCCAAGATTTTGATGCGTCAGCCCAAGCCCGGTAGTACTTCTGCTTATGACGTAACGCAATTTTACAGGAGTGACCAAACCATGTTTCCTGAGTTCTGCCTCCGATAGGCACAGCCACAGATGATGAAATAAATAATTCCATACCCTGAAGAACCACATCAGCGACAGAATCGGCAACAACGTTGGGATTATCCGGCAAGTGGTAAAAGGGTAAGGTGGTAGGTAAGATGCAAAAACATTCTGCATTGACTCATCATCATGACTGCATCCTGTCCCAATCGCCCGACCTATAGTGCCAAACACGGCGGCAACCTGAGAACGCAAGCGCAATGGGAGCGTGAGTGGCACCGTATTCTGAATCAGACAATGATGCGAAGAGCCAAGAGAGGCATCAACGGAGCCCTGATATTCGTCCAGCTGAGAGGTCAGCAGAAGGTTCAACAGGGAAAGTACATGATCCTCCAGATCTGAGATCCACATAGGGAAGAAACCAGTTGTGTCTGACAAAATAACAAAGCAGTCATATTACAGATCTACCCGCATGATCAGTTAAACGGGAACCAAGCCATACAGCGTGATGAGCGTTAAAATCACCGAGAATTTCGATCTCTGCAGATGGGACCTGTTGTTGACCTATAGACGCACCTGTAAACGCAGGGATGGCCGTCGCTATCTACGTGCAGCCGTAGGATGGACAGCTCCGTACCTTTAAGACTGCCGATGCTCGAAAATCGATGTCCTCTCTGACATATATGCAAACTCCAGTCTGGGCACAAAGGAATGTTGATTGAATTGCATCCCGGGTAGGAGAGATACAGCCGGAGACGATACCTGTTTTTCGCTTAAAAAGCTCCAGATGCTAGTGCATTGCGCTAAGGTTTGAATGAAGTCCCTTGATGTTGCAAAAATTCACCGATAGTGTGGCAAGGATAACCTTGTCTTATTGCTCCGCTTGCTCTGAGCAGTTTAAGACTTGAGCTGAATCCCCCCACCCCCCTCAGAATACGCGGGGCAATCTGAGCCCACAACTGAGATCATGCTCAGAAAGAGTAGGATAATTTGGGCGTGGATGCTCAGCGAGGGATTGAGGGGTAATGTTTTCTTTAACTCCGCTACCATATATTAGAGGGGGAAGAGGAATTGGTCCTCCACCCGCACTTACCAGGCGAAATGCAGAAGTAAACTTCTACTTCACGCTGGTATTCTGCGATGTCGCGATACCACCCCGGATCGAGCACACCCATCCGTGCGACAGCAAAAGCTACCGCCTGGCTCTACCACTGTTGTTAATATATAGAATAGAGAAATAACATTAAGATGTAATTTTAAATATAATAAAAAGTTTAAATATACTCTTTCATAAATTAATATTTTCTTTCATTTACAATATCATAGCCAAGTTGTCACAATTTTTTGTATACAATTATTCCAACAGTAAAGCGTGGGTAAAATGTAACTGAAGCTTTTGATTTCGTGTTTTCTAAACGAAACGATAAAACTCAACTTTGAATTCTTTTATAAAAATTTCTCGTGCAACAGGTTTTATAGCCTTTTAACAGTTAACTGATTCAACAGTTTTGCTTTCTTTCAAACTGCTATTTATTACAAAATTCACGTTTCTATTGTCCACAAATCACTTGGCGGAGTGAACGATTATTTGGCTACTACGAGGGCGGCACTGAAAATTTCGGGAATCAAATAAGTGACACATTACTATTTAAAAATGTATTTATTGCTTTTCGAAGTATTATCCGCGAAATTCGACACATTTTTCCATACGATGGAACCAATCATTGAAGCAACCATTCCATTCGGAAGTTGGGGTCTCCAAAATGGCCGTTTTGTAGGCGTCCACAGCTTCTTCAGGTGATGAAAATCTCTGTCCACGCAATTTATTCTTTATTTTAGGAAAAGTATAGAAATCATTAGGGCTTAGGTCGGGGCTGTACGGCGGATGGTCTAATAATTCTATGTTTTCTTGCTCTAAAAACTCTTTTGTTCTGTGTGCGGTGTGAGAACTCGCATTGTCGTGATGGAGGATGATGCGGCGGTTGCAGTTCTCTTTACGGAGTTCAGAAACGACCTGTGGCAAACAAATGCTAGCATACTATTCTGCATTAACCGTTCTTTGTCCCTCAAGAGGAATAGTCGTAACATGACCGGTTTTGGAGACAAACGTGGCCACCATTTTTTTTTTTGCAACACTCCGTGAACGCACAATTTTTGTTGGCTTTAACTCATTTTCGAACACCCAAACTCGTGACTGGTTTTTTGTTTCGTATTCGTACGCGTACATCCAGGATTCGTCACCTGATACGATGTTGTATACAGCATTTGAGGATCCTGCGTGGAATCTTTCGAGAGTTCTGACGCACTAAGTAACGCGAGCCGCTTTTTGCTCTTCTCAGAGCGAATGCGGTAATCCATCGAGAAAACAATTTTTTTACACCTAATTGTTCATGCAAGATTATTTGTATTTGACTCATGCCAATGTCTAAAGTTGCCTGAATTTCGCGTTATGTCACATGTCGATCTTCCTCAATCAGCTTACGCACAGCATCAACGTTTTCTTGGGTGACTGCAGTTTTTGGACGACCTTGACGGGGATCATCACTGAGCTTGACACGTCCACGTTGAAATTCAGCAAACCAGCGATAAATTGTGGTTTTGGATGGGGCTTCATCACCAAATGCAGAAATCATTCGGTCAACACACTGTTTTTGTGTTAAACCACTTCGAAAGTCATAACAAAGCATCGTCGTTGAGAAAATGGAATTGACTCGAGAAAATTCAATCTCGAGTCAATTCCATTTTCTCAACGACTAAACAAGTTTGACAAAACCTTGTGACAAGACCGAGAACCTTTTTTTTTAAATAAATAAATGGTATTTGATTTTTAAAACCAAGGAGTTTTCAATTAAAAAGATTTTAATATGACAGGAACAGTGGAAATATTTCATTCCCGATACTTATAGTGCAGCCTAGTACGCCGGTTTGTATCACCCATTTTTTGCCTAGAAGATTTCAATACAGTAGACGATATGAATGACAAGCTCGTGGAAATAATTCATGTGATCGGAGCTAAGTTCTGTACGAAGAGTCGCAGAAGAACCCGAAACTCCGACCGCACTCTTAATGTCATGGCTGTTTGATGAGAGATTAGGCTGCGATCTTCAACAGATATGACAACCTACAAACAACTGAACTGATAGATCTCCAAATGCATGCGGCGAGACTAACGCAAATTTATTTACAACTCGTATTGAAGAAGCGGTTGGTGGAAACAAAGCTTCTAAGTTTTCGCCAGAGACCTGTCTGCCGAAAAGAGCCCACTGTCGAAGTTGAACCGACTGTGGCATCGTAATTCCCATACACCAGAAATTTAAGTGATATTGAGAGGTTCTGCAGACATATGTACGCATCGTCGTTGGAGCCACACGCAAGTGTGGGTAACATTCCAAGACCAAGTCTCATTCCACACTATTCCGATAATATCCTGTAGGTCAATCTATGCGAGATTAAAATAGCCATCTTGTACCTTTCTAAACGTGATGATAGATTTTTTACAAGTCTTATATTATTGCATGCCAAACAATAAATGATGCATTTTCTATTTAATTAAATTAAACGTCACATGTATTTATTTATACTCAAGGTCCAATTCATTTGAAAGCATTTTGATTAAAATCTAAATCTAATAGTACATGAAATGCTAGATATAAATAAATACGAATATTTACTTGAATTAAGATTTTTTTTCCTGCATTAATAGTTTTCTACGATCTTGTTAACTTCAATAACTATGATTCCTTGACAAACTGAATATCCAATGAATAAAAGAATTAATTTTTTTGTAGTTGACTTTTAGTATCTCATATTTTATTTCTGATTAAAAAATATAAGAAGTTAAAACTAAAAAGACTGTTTTTGAAATATCATTGAAAAAACTTATAAACAGATAAAAAGTAAAGAAAAGCCAGCAGTGGGACATATATAGGCTATATAGCCTATATACTTCCCACTGCTGGCCAAAGGTCTAATTTCTATAAGGATCAAACTCATATGTCCTCAAAATATTTTATTCCTGAAACACGATTTCCTTATGATGTGTTCCCTTACCGTGGAGCATGTAGTAACTCAGCACTTAAAATTGCAATTAACAAAATCACAGGCGATATTTATATACATATATACATTGGTTATATTTAAAGCAAGCACCCTAACCCCTAACGGTGGGTTACGGTTTTATAAAAGGTATAAATATTTTGTTAATTCAATACAGCGTACATTTTATTTTAAAATAATCTACATGCGAATTTTTAGTAATGAATGGTGTACGAATGACTACGCGTCGCCATATTTTGACATTTTTGTAGAGAAGGGACACCATTCGTCGTGTACAAAAACGGATTAATGTTGTTGCAGGATAACATTAGTTTGATTTGGGTTCGTCTAATATATCACGTTGACATGGATATGGGTGGACCAATGTGTCATGAATATTGGTAAAAAAAAAACTTTTATATTGAGTCAAACGTATGGGTGTTAAACCGTTTTGTAATATATTTACACGTGTAAAAATAAAATGTTATAATTTTTTTATTAACTACTGTCAGCCTATCAAAAGTCTACCGGTGAACATAGGCCTCCCCACCCAGACCGACTCATGGGATGGATATCGACGGGTGGCAACCGCAGTTTTAAATTATTTTATTTTGTTATCGGAAAGAAGCTGCTGTCCTTTTCCTTTTTCACTTCCCTCTGTCGCCTTTTACAAAACCAATGTAATTACATGGGGTAGTAGATTTCCTTACATCACTACTACACGGAGAAATTCACAAAGTGGTCATTTATTTATACCCTATTCTTTTTATAAAAGGTAAAATAAAGCTAATAAAGAATTATTTATATATTTACATACTGTAGTACAACCTTGATCTAACAAATATAAAGTGGATTAGAAAATATTCGTTATACCAAGTAATTTGTTACAGTAAGGTTCGTAATATTAAGGTTGTACTGTATTTTGAAAACACCTTTCTCACACACGATTTTTATGCTTTAAGGGATGATACAGATTATACAGCAAGGCTACGTTATTACCTATTATTTGTTGTGAGACAAGGAGGTCACTTATATCCTGAGTTTGAGTCGAATAATTTATACAATTAGAATACAATCACTTTTGACAAGTTTATATTATAAAAATTATAAGCAATTCTCGTTGGAAATTTTGTTTCGCGGTTTTGTGAAGTGCGAAGTTGGAGAAATGTGAGGTGGCTTATGTCCATCGTTAGGACGTATATATGCTGTTACTTAACGTATCATTTTACTTACAGGGTTATTAATGACAGTCTGAAACAATTCCCCTCCTTGTATGGAACGGTCTAGTCGCTGCCTGCCACCGGGGTACCGTTCTAAAAGCAGCGTGTGCGTGAACAGACCGCACGTCTGGCGAGGTAAAACCATGACTCCTCGATGTCGGAATCCCCGTCGTAACCTGCACAAAAACATATGTCAGGAGACAATTTGCTACTTTTAAGCATTTATAAATTAAATCTGTAAGTTCCTTTTTCGACCCCGGTAGGTTTCTAATCAACATATAAAGGAGACGATCCATTTCAGGCATAGTCTATGTACACTATACGATAAAAGGGCGAAAATTTCAGGGATTTTATTAAAAATAAAACAAGATATATATGGAACTAAACAACTTGCTAAAAATAAAAATGCAATTTTAAGTTTTTGATGGTTTTATAAGATGGCGCCCTATCAGTCATAAAAAGACGCGGTCACTGGTCAAATGTCATTTCTGTGTCTTTAAGTTTAAGTGACTTGAGTCATAAAGTAATGTAGGTAGCATGATATTTTTACTTATTATGAGCTTGGTCGTGAATTTGTGAACTCGTGAATGTATTTATTGTGTTTCATGTAGATTTCTTTGGCGATTTGGTTTTGGTTTAGTGATAAGGATAACACAGCATTTCAGAACTCAAATAGCCATGTAAAAGTGGTAGAGCCACCTGGCTGGTTTGCTGTTGCACACCGGCGTGAAGTGGAAGCTCAACTTCCGCGTTTATTGAGTACCAGCACCCATGGAGAAGCCCTCGCTGAGCATCCACGAACAAGTTACTCCACTCCTGAGCGTGGGTGCTCAGGCTGCTCCGCGTATTCTGGGGGGGGGGGCCCAATTCCGCACAAGACAACAAATGCTCGGGGCAAGCTGAGCAACAAGACCAAGGCAACCCCTGCCACGGTATCCGTGAATTTCTGCAATATTCGGTGGACTTCACTCTAACCTAAATGCCGTCCACTATCATCTCAAGACGGCGAGGCCGGCTCTGCTCGTTCCGGCCGAGACGCAGGTGTCCTCTCCGGCTGATGCTTTGTATCTCTCCTACCCGGGTTACAAACTGGAACACTCCTTTGTGCCTCGTGCTGAAGTTTGCGTATACGTCAGAGAGGACATCTGTTCTCGATGCCTCGTAGTCTTAAGGTCCGGACCTGTCCATCCTTTGGCTACACGTAGACAGCGAAGATCATTCCCACGTCTACGGCTGCCTCTCTAGGTCCCATAGCGGTAATGCCGCAACAGATCAGCTCTTCGACCACGTCCAAATGGCTACAGATTCGTTGCTACAGCAGATCCCCTCTGCAGAGATCGTAATCCTCGGCGATTTTAACGCCCACCACGCCGAATGGCTTGGTTCACGATTAACCGATAAAACGGGGAGATCTGTTCATGATTTTTGCCTTGGCATATGGTCCGACACAACTGGTTACTTCGCCTACGCGGATTTCAGATGAGGAGGATCATGCACCTTCCCGGTGGGACCTTGTGCTGACCTCTCATCCGGACGGTTATCAGATTTCCGTCAACGCCCGTTTAGGATCATCGGACCATTGTCATGTCCGGAGAGTGGTGTCACTCACACTGAAATCGTGGTTGCCTTCTGCAGGCTGCCGCCGTGTTTGGCACTATAGGTCAGCCGATTGGGATAGGATGCGGTCTTTTTTTGCATCCTACCCTTGGGGGCGGGTTTGCCACTCGCCGGACGATCCCAACATTGTTGCTGATTCTGTCGCTGATGTTGTACTTAAGGGTATGGAAATTTTTATTTCTTCCTCTGTGGTGCACATCGGAGGTAAGTATCAGCCACGGTTTAGTCGCTGCTGTAAAATAGGATCAAGCTTTCAGCAGGAGTGCTACAGGGCCTGGGCTTACGCATCAACGTCCCGGGACGTAAACACCAGCGCTCTAAAAAAGAAGTATAATTCCGCCTCCAAGTCCTTCAAAAGAGTCATTGCTTGGACAAAGCCAGAGCAAATAGGCAGAATGGGCGAGAAACTAGTTCGCCTTCCTTCTGGAACCCGTGCATTCTGATCTCTCGCCAAGGCTGTCCAGGGGAATTTCTGTCAGCCATCTCTTCCATCTCTGCACAGGAAGAACGACTGACTGGCCCATGCCGCAAAGGAGAAAGCCGATCTGCTAGGCTCTTTCTTTGCATCCGACTTGACTCCAGATGATGGAGGAAGTACGCCGCCGACCATCCCACGGTGTGAGTGCTCCATGCTGGAGGTGCGGTGTATACAGCACTCGATTCACAAAGCACTCCTCTCCCTGGACATTTACAAGTCGAGTGGGCTTGACGGTATCCACCCAATTGAAGACGTGTGCTCCAGAGTTGGCACCGGTCTTAAAGCGTCATTTCCGGTACTCCTACTCTCTAGGCGTAGTCCCAAAATCATGGAAGACGGCTTTCGTCCACCCGATCCCTAAAAAGGTGACCGCTCAGACCCGTCCAACTACAGACCCATCGCCATCATCTTGTTCTCCAAAACAATGGAATCCATTGAAAACTGCCAGCTTATGAGGTGCCTCGAGAATCACCAGCTGATTAGTGATCACACGCAAAATTGTTTTAGCTGCTTAATAACCTTAGTGAAAACACAATTTTGCGTGTTAACCACTAAAAAGAACCCCTTTGTCGTATCTCGTCAGTTTCAAGGCACTCCCATTGTTGCCTCAGCCAGTATCGGAATCCTCGGCGTCGACATATAGAGTGACGTGCAGTTTCATGGCACTAAAATCACTGGCGTTGCGAAGAGATGTTGCATCTCTTTGCATTTTCTTTCGCATCTATCACGGGGAGTGCTCTGAGGAATTGTTCTGTTTATTCACAGCCGCCAAATTTTATGAACGCACTACGCGGCAAACGTCCCAATACCATCCACATCATCCGGATGCTTGGCGGTCTACCACTGTACGTTTCACTAGGAGTTTTCTTCCGCGTACTACCTCTCTGTGGAATAGTTTACTACCGGCGATTTTTTCGGACCGATACGACTTAGGGATCTTCAAAAAAAAGAGCTTACTCCTTTCTAAAGGGCCGACAACGCACCTGCAATTCCCCTGGCGGTTGTTCATGAGCGGTGGTAGTCAATTAACATCAGGTGAATCGTATGCTCGTTTGCACCACTACTATATAAAAAAGCCATTGTGGTGGCGACTGTACGTCGAGTTTACAATTTTGAACCAGTATTTTAGCTAGACGCCACAAAGTGAGTCAGTCGCCCGCGTTCACGCGTTTTCTCGGTAGTTTTAGCGTTGGCTAAGTAGTTTAGCTTCTCCACGGTAGTTTAGTAATGTTAGCTTTAGTTTGGTACCTCGGTAGCGTAGCTCAGTATTTAAGGCTTTGCATAACTTTTCTAATTTAGTTGTTAATTAAGAGAATCATTGTGAAATAGTAATACATCTTTATATATGAACAATTGAATTTTATTTGTGCACCACAACTCCTGAACTATTATGAGTACAAGCATTAGGGAAATGACAGTAATCATGAGTCGTAAGAATATTAAATAAAATAGAACAAACCTCAATACAACACAAAAGCCATTAATAAATGGATCAATAACCTCATGACATGTGACAGCTAACGACATCTATCTTGCATTTTTTGGCGAGAATAAAATATTAATACAACTGAAACAAAGGCAAATTCGTGAATTTGAATGATCAGTAGCGGTTTAATATTTTATTTTAATTTATATCCCTATTAGTACAAAACTAGGCCTATGATTCATACTATTTTGGACAGTCTCCTTTCTAATTAAAATATTTGTGTCCTTATTTTTAATACAAGCGTCGAATCTGGTTTATTTCTTAATGGTAGAATAATTTGATTCACGATTTTTGAGTATCGTTTTTTTTATAAAAAAATGGTTTAAAGTAACATTTAGAATAACTATACTTAAAACATAACCTTGTTAAATTATAATCATGATGATGTTGACGATCCGAATACAAAAGCAAATATCTCATTCAAGATTTTTGGGTCTAGTTTTTTTTATAATACATTTACTATTAAACAAAATTAAGAGTAGATACCAGTACTTAAAACAAGTTTCATAATTAACAAGGTTAATAATAATTATCATTTATACTAAAAGCAACTAGAGATCCAAAACATTTCCGCGCAATCAATTGAGACATTAACTGAGGTCAGAGCAGCGGTTATAACATAAAACAAACTGATAAAAGTAATGTTTACTTTAATTATCTTGCGATTTCAATAACAAACCAAATTATGTCAATTGATAGAAATTATTGAAAAGCAGTTTGAACCAATCAGCGACGATTAGTGTATAATGTCGCAGATTTATGGTCAAATAAAAAAATCAAAAAAACACTAGGCTTTTGATCAAGAACCGAAAGAAAACAAAGTTACTACTTAAGCTTATCATTTACCTGAAAAAATCCTGTGTTTGATCAAATTTAAGCATATGATATATAAGGTTAGTTTTATCATAAGACTAAATCAGTCTAGGTTATTATACATATACTTATATATATATATATATATATATATATATATATATATATATATATATATATATATATATATATATATACCGGCAAGTGCTTTATTATTGATTGACATAATATTTTGATTTACGTTACGTTAAAAAGGTTTACGGATACCGCGATTGAAATATTCGCCGACTATGAACATACTTCAGGTTTTTTCAGCAAATTAAACATTATACTTATGAAATCTATGTATATAACTGAAGTTTATAAAAAACATAATATTATGGATATGACCGCTATTAGAAATTAGAATTATGTACAATACGTACAGTTACAACTGAAACTTACTGTTAAACTAACACAGTTGTTTTGTAATTATCGAAGAAATTCGATATAATTATTATTACCTATTACACTTATTATAAATATTATACAGTTGAATCTCGATAACTCGAACTTCGTTAAGTCGTAATCCACAACAATTTCAAAAACATGCTATTCCCTTCCGCTGAACCCATAAATACGCGGTGTCTGGTATCATTTAGGCTTTGTAACAAGTGGAAAATCTTATTTCCCTGTGAGGTATTGATAGTACATATTTATACTCTGTAACTCGAATTTCAAAAAGTAGACTCCGTAAGTCATAAATTAACGAAATATAATGACGTCTTACTTGGAATTCCCCGAACTCACAACAATAAAATCCAAAAAGAATCTTTGGTGGTTCTAATCTATTGTTTGTCCTTTCTACTCGTACAATGAAATACATTCATTTAACTTTCTATGTAATACAGCTGTGTGTGTACCTTACGTTTGTTCACTGTCGATCAGTACTTACTTATTTCACTTTTAATTAGTAACAACATACTTACTAAAAGGGAGCTACAAACTTTAACTCTACGTGAAAAATTCGACGTTATCAATGCGGTAAAAAGTAACATGAAGAAAAAAAATTGATAAAAAATCTGCAAATTCCTTAAATAAAAAGAAGATAACTGATGTACTTTACTAAATGTCATTTCCTTCAATAAATATGTACCATAAAACTTAATTCAAATTTTATTTAACTTTGACTCTACAAGTAAAAAATCGCGTCTTTCTATGTCGAAATTTTAGGAATTAAATCATTTGTATCTCGACTTAACTTTAACGTTAAGTCGAAAATACATTAACCAGTTTTTTTTTTGCATTTTCAGACATTCAAGTTATCGAGATTATACTATAGTAACCAAATTACACAAAATATAGTTTAAAAGTACAATGAATTTACCAGCCGCCTTTCATTAAACATTTAGAGAAGAAAAACAATCCATTTCTGCCTAATGATTTATTCGCTAAATATAAGCCATTTTATGGCAGCCATGATTTTAAATAAATGTAACACCGCCGCGGGTCCTTCTTTCACACGTTTTGTTATTTTAGCATTATTTGAATATTCATAGTGTCACTGTTTAACTCAAAAAGTTAACAAAGTAAAATGTTACTTAAAGTACAGTAAGTAGTTTACTTAAGTAACATTTTACTTAAATGCTACTTAAGTAAAATGTTACTTACCTACCGTAGCATACCTACACTTTTATATTCCCTACGTAGTAAAAACTTGGCAGTATATACTAGATCTAAGATTGGACTTACTAACGTTATTTCGCGTACATATTCCATATTATAAGAACAGTATAAACATATTATATCGTCTTATTAAAAAATGTTTATAGTTTAATATATCTGTTTCCATAAAGATGTGTCTTGGAAAAGACAAGAAATCTTTTCGAGTGGTGGGCAGGGCACCAAACAATGTATCCAGAGCTGTTACGTTTAGCGCGAGTGTTTCCATGTGCACCTGCAAGCACTGTGTATAGCGAGCGATTATTTTCGTAGGCTGGTAACGTCTACGAAAAAAAGGAATAGGCTGTTACCAGAACGTGCAGAGAGCCTTATGTTCCTGCATCATAGTATACCTTTATTAAATTTTAAATATTGATTTTTTTCATTAACCTTTACCTAATTTTGTCTCATTACTCAAACTCAAATTCATTATCATAATTGATTTTAAATACTTTTTGATTAACAATGTTGTTTTAATTATATTGCTTTACTTAAACCGAGTATACTCGGAATTAAAACCGAGTTATTCGGCCGAGTACAAGTATTAAAAAACTTAAACGTACTCGGTGGGAGTACGCCGAGTACCGAGTATTAACATAGTACTTGGCCCATCTCTACTAAAAATGGAATAGACAATGATCTGACATAACTTTTACTTAGATTTGGATGAGTCAAATGCATTATTGCGTTTTCCAATAATTTTTATTGCAATCATTTCGTTTAATTAATCAGTAAAATATACATCATGTTGATATAACTGGCTGGTGATGTGAAACTGGGTCAAAGGTGGGAATCGTTTGGTCCATTGTCTGTCAAGTTTAGCGATTACGGCAAACCGTCTCTATTCGGAAGCCGAGCATATCATATCAAGGGTGGAGTGAGTAAGGTCGATTTCATATCGAGGTAATAGACAACTTAAATCTCAAATTAACTGTATTTTAACCGAACAGGATTTACAAAATAAGGGTAATATATCGGGACACAGTTTGTTATTAGGATTATACTGACGTGAACTACAGTATGGGAGAAGCCCATATTCAGCAGTGAATTACTTAAAGTAGTGAATTGGTTTTAGAAAAGAAGTTATTACCTGGCCGGCCTTAAATGAGGGTACTCTTCGGTGCTCGTTACTTTAACATCCCACACTTTCCGCCAGGCCTCGTAAAGCGGCTCGTGCACCGGATACACGCCGGAGTGGTGCGGCGATACCGAGTAACACGAATTGGTCGGAATGCCGTGCTCTATTGCGAACTGTTTGTTCAGCATCATCTCGGTCTCAAGCTGGGTAACGTTGCTGTATAGATGTGGCTGTTGGTGGTTCCACATGTGACAAAACCTGAACACAAAAATAATAATGATTTACTTATATTAAATAGAGCGCGGACTAAATATTGATTAAAACATATTTTTAACGGATTTTCCGGAACGGTGATGCTTTTGTAAGTCTGCAGTTTGTGATCATATCCTAGACGGAACCAACCATTATATCAGATTTGATAGACCACAAATCCTCGCGAAAGAACACCGATTCCTACCAAGGATGATACGTGAGGCTATTGAAATTAAAAAACATCCTAACTTCAATAGAGAAGGAGGCTGGGTACTACCACCTGCTTGGAATCCTATAATCAATAAAATTAAAACTAAACCCAAGCATACCACTGCAAGACCTCAGGACATAGTCAGTTCATTTTGTATAGATCGGACCATAAACAATAATTAAAAAAGCTGAAGGTACTCTGGGTTTAACAATGACATCGTGACGTCAGTCATCTCAGTCCCCCGTGACCATGGGTGCTGGAAAGCGTCCGAAACGTCGGGAATTAAAAAATAAAAGTAATTAAAAGTAAAATAAACGCGATAAAATCCATAAAAGCAGTTTTAATCAACAAAAATTAATGTTAGCATACTATTACAAGTAGAGCGCGGATAAATATTATGTAAATACATATTAATTTAACCGGATAAACATTATGTAACTACATATTTATATTCAATTTAACCGCTTTTTGTTATACATAAAATGATACGCATTTTACAGCCGCTGGTCTATGTGACAGTTGTAATTATATCTCTGTTATATTATGACTTCCATATTACCTCTGTTCTTAAATATTATAAAACTTAATTTAAAATGTTTTCAGCTCTAGTAGTAGTTCCCTAATCTAAAAATTATGATTTATAACAATAGTTTTCTTTTGTTAATTTAAATTCTGGATTTAAGGAAGCTGGAAACATCCAATGCATAGCATGTAAGCATAATGAAAGGGCGAAGTTGCCTGCCACAAGTGTATATATATATAGGCAGCTCCAACAATGAATATTGTGTGTATATATATATTTTTTTTTATAAAAGAGGGGGGCAAACGAGCATGTGGCTCACCTGATGTTAAGTGACTACCTTGATGCTCCGATCCGCAAGAAAACTGGTGATCCAATCGCACAATTTCTCGGGAAGCCCATAGGAAGGGAGCTTCGAAAGAAGCGCTTTGTGCCAAACCCGATCGAAGGCCTTCGCAATGTCCAAACTAACGGCCAATGCCTCCCCCCTTGGACTCTACTGCCTCCGCCCATCTGTGAGTTAGGTAGACCAGAAGATCACCAGCTGACCTACCACGGCGAAAACCGTATTGGCGGTCACTAATCAGCTGGTGATCCTCAAGGTACCTCATGAGCTGGCAGTTTACAATGGACTCCACTGTTTTGGAGAACAAGGAGGTGATGGCGATAGGCCGGTAGTTGGACGGGTCTGAGCGGTCGCCTTTTTTAGGGATCGGGTGGACGAAAGCCGTCTTCCATGATTTTGGGACTACGCCTAGGGAGTAGGAGTACCGGAAAAGACGCAAGAAAAATTAAATATATATATATATATATATATATATATATATATATATATATATATATATATATATATATATATTAATTTATTTATTACACAAAAATACAGTCGGTTATTCTTTATACAATGTACCTACTGTCCTTAAGAATTTAAAATACACATTTTGACTTTGACTTAAGTTATGTAGATAAATGTTCGTCGTACACAATATGATGACTAGTCAAACGACTAAAATGTGTTAGAGTAATCTTCTTTAAAACTACATAGCTCAATACCGTCCCGAATTTTGTGCACAACCAGACACGAAAATCAATCTTTTGGCTTCGGCGTTACAATACACGTAGTATACCTAGGCGTACATATCATATGAATATACAGTAGTAATGCAACTTTGACAAGTAGTGTTGAGTAGATACGATGCTAAATGGTAGAGTCACGAGCACGCGTCGGAAATGTGTCGCTTGCGCAACTAGACGCAGTGCGCGCACATTGATTTTATACACAAAAAATTTAGTTCTTTTATGAAAATCAAAATATATTTATAAAAAACTTATATAAATACAATATTCATTGTTGGAGCTGCCTATATATATATATATATATATATATATATATATATATATATATATATATATATATATATATATATATATATATAGGCAGCTCTATATATATATATATATATATATATATATATATATATATATATATATAGGCAGCTCCAACAATGAATATTGTATTTATATAAGTTTTTTATAAATATATTTTGATTTTCATAAAAGAACTAAATTTTTTGTGTATAAAATCAATGTGCGCGCACTGCGTGTGACACAAGCGACATTTCCGACGCGTGCTCGTGACTCTACCATTTAGCATCGAAAGGTCAAAGTTGCACTACTACTGTATATTCATATGATATGTACGCCTAGGTATACTACGTGTATTGTAACGCCGAAGCCAAAAGATTGATTTTCGTGTCTGGTTGTGCACAAAATTCGGGACGGTATTGAGCTATGTAGTTTTAAAGAAGATTACTCTAACACGTTTTAGTCGTGTGACTAGTCATCATATTGTGTACGACGAACATTTATCTACATAACTTAAGTCAAAGTCAAAATGTGTATTTTAAATTCTTAAGGACAGTAGGTACATTGTATAAAGAATAACCGACTGTATTTTTGTGAATAAATAAATTAATTATATATATATATATATATATACATTAATTTTTCTTGCGTCTTTTCCGGTACTCCTACTCCCTAGGCGTAGTCCCAAAATCATGGAAGACGGCTTTCGTCCACCCGATCCCTAAAAAAGGCGACCGCTCAGACCCGTTCAACTACCGGCCTATCGCCATCACCTCCTTGTTCTCCAAAACAGTGGAGTCCATTGTAAACTGCCAGCTCATGAGGTACCTTGAGGATCACCAGCTGATTAGTGACCGCCAATACGGTTTTCGCCGTGGTAGGTCGCGGTGATCTTCTGGTCTACCTAACTCACAGATGGGCGGAGGCAGAGAGTCCAAGAGGCGGTGGCCGTTAGTTTGGACATTGCGAAGGCCTTCGATCGGGTTTGGCACAAAGCGCTTTTTTCGAAGCTCCCTTCCTATGGGCTTCCCGAGAAATTGTGCGATTGGATCACCAGTTTTCTTGCGAATCGGAGCATCAAGGTCGTTGTAGACGGTGCAAGCTCCGATTGCAAGCTTATTAATGCTGGTGTTCCACAGGGCTGCGTGCTATCGCCAACGCTGTTTCTTCTGCATATCAATGATATGTTGCAAACCCGTAGCATTCATTGCTATGCAGATGACAGCACTGGTGATGCTCTTTACACCGGCCGAGCCAATATTTCTCGGGAAAACGTCTCTGAGTGCCGGGACAAACTTGTGTCTGAAGTCGAGTCTCTGCTGGACAAAGTCTCGGATTGGGGGCGACTAAATCTAGTCCAGTTTAACCCCCAGAAGACACAAGTTTGCGCGTTAACCGCTAAAAAGAACCCCTTTGTCGTATCCCCTCAGTTTCAAGGCACTCCCCTTGTTGCAGTATCGGAATCCTCGGCGTCGACGTTTGGAGTGAGGTGCAGTTTCGTGGTCACTTGGAAGGGAAGGCCAAATTGGCCTCTAAAATGCTTGGCGTGCTCAGCAGAGCGGGACAGTATTTCATGCCGGCACACCGCCTGCAACTTTACAAGGCGCAGGTTCGGCCGCTCATGGAATACTGTTCCCATCTCTGGGCTGGGGCTCCCCAGTACCAGCTCCTTCCACTTGACCGCATCCAGCGCAGAGCGGCTCGAATCGTCGACGACCGAGTGCTTTCCGATCGGCTCGATTCACTGGCGCTGCGAAGAGATGTTGCATCTCTTTGCGTATTTTATCGCATCTATCACGGGGAGTGCTCTGATGAATTGTTCGGATTAATCCCAGCCGCCAAATTTCGTGAACGCACTACACGGCAAACGTCCCGATACCATCCACACCATCTGGATGCTTGGCGGTCCACCACTGTACGTTTCAAAAGGAGTTTTCTTCCGCGTACAACCTCTGTGTGGAATAATTTACCACCGGTGATTTTTCCGGACCGATACGACCTGGGGACCTTCAAGAAAAGAGCTTACTCCTTTCTAAAGGGCCGGCAACGCACCTGCAATTCCCCTGGTGTTGCGGTTGATCATGGGCGGCGGTAGTCACTTAACATCAGGTGAGCCACATGCTCGTTTGCCCCCTCTTCTATAAATATATATATATATATTATATTCAATTCAAGCTCATTTTTAGCTCTACGAACATCACAATCTGACACCAATTCAAAAAGTGTTTTTTTATATATATAAAGAGGGCGACGAAGGAGCATGCAGTCTACCTGATGGTATAGGATAATGTAGTAAAATGCAGATGCGTTGTCACTCCTAAGGCCTAAGATGGAATGCCTCGGATCCAGTAAAAAGGTTCTCCGGATGTCCACACTCAACATCAAAAACTTAATGCTGATGTACTGAGCTCCTATTTTTGTGCTGGTTTCTGTGAGAGCGTGTTTCTTCCTCGGTCGCGTCGACTCATTCGTGCTACAACCATACTAGTTTGACCAATAAGTGTTCGGAGTAGGACACTTATCACTGAGTTATAGAAAAATTTTATATCTTTTCGAATCTTAAATCGTTAGAAGGCAAGGCCAGAAAAATTAAATTAAAAGCTACTCTTTTTTTTAAATTAAACTACATTTGCGGGGAATTTCATTCATATGCAAAATAGAGAAACTCGAACTTCGTGCAGTTATAAAATATTCCTGCCCGAAACATTTTTATACAAAAAGTGTTTTTAAAGAACTGCAGTCTACTTTGACAACGCTTCGTCTTATTCTACAGTGGCATACTGGTGGGCTGAATTTTTACGCCGCCTGCAATGACGACACTGGCTTCGGGCGGCCAACAACGGCCGCCGCTCAAGAAAACGTTAAAAAATCGAAGAAATTGTTGAGGTAGATCGGTATGTGATCATGCGTTATTTAGCTGAGATTCTAAAATTTTTGTTTGGGACAGTTCAGTTTATTTTAACTCATACCTTAAAATTCAAAAAGGTGGTCGCGCGGTGAGTTCCTCGAATGTTAAAAGAAGCCCAAAAGAAAACAAGAGTTAACATTTCAAAGCTAAATATAGCAATTGAAGATACAGATTATTTTTGCTCTCGTTTTGTAACCTTACATAAAACATAGGTACACGATTTTGACCTGGTAAAAAACCAAAGCAAGGTGTGGAAAAGACTGTCTTCTCTGTTTTTGGAATGCCGTAGGTATAATCATGATCGATTATTTAAGTAGAGGATAGGCGATAACCGGAGATTATTATGCATTATTAATCAAAAAACTACGCGAAGAACTAAAAATAACGCCAAGAAAATTGCGTGCTAGAGTGCTTTTTCATAATAATACAGTGCTGCCATCCGAACTGCTAGGTTTCAGTTAACGCAGCATACACCATATTCTCCGGACCTAGCTCCGAGTGATTATCAACTTCTTACTCATTTGAAAAATCACTTGCGTGGTGTAGAATTCGAGGTGATGTGTGTGCTGTGTTTTTCGAATCTCAGGATAAAGCCTTTTTTCCAATGGAATTAACCAACTTGCAAAACGCTATTGAAGGTGTATTAGCTTAAGCGATTACGTTGAAAAATAAATACAATTTACTAAAAACTTATTGATCACCCTAGTAATATAGCTGCAGGATGACTCTACCACGTATATACGTATGTTGGAATAATAATTTATTTTATTGTGTAAGCCAATGACTAGTTAAGAAAAAATTTCACTGCGTAATTTGGATATTTTTAAATAGAATTAGGGGAAAAATCAAGCATACTGTCCACCTGAGTAAGTGGATGCTGTGGCCCATAGACAATCTACATTTATCTTCAAGTAAGAATTCATAATGCAGATGCGTAGTCACCCCTGAGGACTAAGATGGAACAACTCGTTGCCAGTAAAAAGGGTCTCCGGTTCTCTACACTCACCATACGGTCACTCAACACAGCAACATTAAGCTGTTATTTTATACTGGTATTATGTGAGAGCGTGGCCCTTCCTCGGTCGAGCCGAACCATTCGAGCTACAACTACCACGTCCAAAATTATCATCATAATTATCCTCAAAGTAGTTAAGGTAAGTTCAAAAGGTGGCTGTTTACAAATATTATATGAAATTTTATTATATATATATAAATATATATACATATATATATATATATATATATATATATATATATACACTTTTAAAGGTTTTGTTATAAAAATTTTTTTTGGCTAAACTGGCTGAGGAATAGCAAGTTTATTGTTGCGGGTTATGACGCGTGACTATGTTTTTTTACGTACGTAATAATCTCATAAATATACAGAAATATTTATATTTCAATATTAACCAATAATAGCTGTTTAATTTAAAACACATATACAATATTGTAGCTGTGATGTAAAGAAAAAATGTTTGTGATTAATTTTTGCAAAAGTCAACTGTAGTGTCGCATCTTATGTTCTTATAGAAAACGTTCTAAAAATGATACTAGCTGGCCCGGCAGACGTTTTTATGCCATACTCGGTAGGTTGCGCGATGAGTTTCACTCTGAGTTCACTCCAAACTCTACACTTACTTACTTATAACTCAACCAGAGTCTGGATTATGTGATTTTCTTTTTTTAGACTAAACCAATACATTATTCTGTGAATATGAGTCATTTTGGTTCAAAAATATAGAATTTGTCAATAAACTGACCAAAGCGCCACCTATCGTATTCAAGCGTAGCAATGAACCATCATCTCGACAAAATAAATATATTGTATGTACATACATGTATGTATACATGTTCATCTGTCCCCTCAAATCTTCTAAGCCACACATTTTGACAAATTATATAACTTTAAAAGCACTTAGCCTTTTCGTGTGTTTTAAGCTGCATGAAGTCAAATAAAAACTAATTTGGCGGCTAATTGCGGACATATAATGAAACATTGAAATACATACAATATTGAAAAACTATATGTATGAGAAAAACGTAAATAACTAAAACGAAACTGCAATAGGAAATGTGTAATAAAAAGGTCCAACGATGCAAGAGGGTGAAATAACACCAACTTCCCGACTCCGGGCTGCTATTGAGAATACCTTGACAAAAACTCTTTTGGCCCGACCAAGCACTCGAACCCGGGACTCTACGATAAGCAGTCGCGCTTATTTAACACTAGACCAACGAAGCAGTCTACAAAATCGTTTTAGTTTTATTTTTTTATTGGTGGTAATATAATTAACTAATTTTAAATGCTCATTTATATGACTTTATAACGTGCGTATGACAGACAAGATTTAAAAAAAAATCCATTACGTTCTGACAAACGCTTCAAGATTACACAGAAAATATACTTACCAAGTAAAATGTTCCCTGTTCTTTAATAAAGCATCATCACCACGATTCTCCAGCGGTGTACCATGGTGATAGTATTTCGCGCTGAAGCCAAGATTGAACCGAAAGCCAGTGACCAGTCGCTGCAGAGCGGCTTGAGATGCCAATAACGCCGATACATCTTCTTCGTGGAGACGAGTCCCTGAATATAAATAAAATATCTGTGTATCTCCGACAATATCTGCAAATTGTTATAAACGAGTTTATTCTACCTCATGGTAAATGGCTGCAGAGGCCCATAGACATCTAAATCTACCCTCGGTTAAAAATCACAATGCGAATGCGTTGTCACCCCCGGGTACTAAGATAAAGTGCCTCGTTACCAGCTAAATTAATTCGAAAGTTTTCTTACCCTTAAGTTGAAAATATTTGAAATGAAACTTAACTCTCATGTACCGTATAAAATATAAGATTCTACATATATCTTATATACATAAATGTAAGGTCATATTCAAATTGCGCGGGTATATAATTGGAATATATTTTGCTCATCGAAGACATACTTTAATCAATGTAGTCGATGATTGACATTGCTGCTCCGTGAATTCAACTACTCGGTTGGGGCGTTATATTTATACCGCGATCTGTTTTAAGTCCTAAAATATAACTGGCGATTCCCTCAGTTGTCCCTCAGACCTAGTGTTCATTTAGCAACATTTGTCACTCAGCATGTTAAGCGATATCGCAGAATTGTTGGTTTACAAAATCATAGTGTGTCAAAAATAAACTATAAAAAATAAGAAAACTTACCTCTTTCGCCGACAAAGATATCATCGATATCAACAAGGATCCACCTCTCGAGGCTGAGGCTCAATTGTCCGTGACTCAAGTAGCTCAAAGCGTCGAGAAACAGAAGCCGATGCAACCAAAACTGGAGTCCGGAACCGAACAGTACTCGCTGAACACCGTCGAGTCTGCCGTGATCTTGTATCACCGTCGCCAGTGGTGACCGGTTTTCTGTGCAAAACACATTTTTAAACCTTCTTTATCACGCAAGTGACGCTAGTCAAACTATTAGTCTACTGCTCCATACCACTGCTATTACTAATACTAACGCCTAACACCTTCTCTACGCTATTCTCCTGCATATGTACATTTTATTCATAGTTTTTATTGTAAATAATAGGGGCCTACGTTTGACTAAATACTCACTTTATATTAAGTGCTGATAAGGTGCTGAATAAACACTTTCACATTAAAAAATGCCTTAAAAAGACGCATATTGTAGTGGTCAAGAAAAACAGACGCATTCAAAGAATTCCAGTCCCTACAACCCTACAAGTTTGTACAAATGCGAGACATGTCAAAAACGTAAGAATTGAACCTATAGAGTACATTGAGATATTCGATGGCAAAATAGGGATGGGGAAGCTATAGAGTGCAGCACTTGTGCACATACTTTAAAATCTCTTCTTTCTCGAAGAATTTTCGAACTCTGCCTCTGTAATGGATAATATGCAAATAAGCGTCAAAGTGTGATGAATAGCCCATAAGTTTTAACTTTTCACACGGCTTTCCGCTAACTCCAAGGCAGCAAGTTAATACTGCAGCACTAGACCAAATGTGACAACAGTACTCCTGACACAACCAGAGTGAGCTTGAAAAAGATTGAGAGTCTGGCCCCATGAATATTGAGGCACTTTGGTGAGAGGACAAACTTTTTTGCTGCTAGCGTTGCCTTGCACTCAATGAACTGGCCAAAGTAGGGTCAAATGAAATATTGACTCCTAGTAGCTGTAGACGATCAAATTTTTCCAAGGCTACATTCCGGAAAGTTGGTTAACAGACCCTGTTTGGCGGTGATAAAATATGTCAGTGTTTTGTTAGCATTAAATCGCACCAAGTTGATATTCAATTGCAGATCGTTTTTAAGAAGAGACCTCTACCATAGTATTATTTTCAGACAGCACCTGTTCTTTGACCTGGTCATAGTTTATCCCCGAAGAAACCACGACATTGATAGACTTAGGTTCAGACGACCAGCCTGCAATATTACCGATCGCCGATCCCCGATCATATCTCAATAAATGCCTTAAAGATATCCAGTAATAGATGATCTGTAGGTCACTGAGAATATCATTATGTTCATTAAACGTTACAAGGTAAGTACGCAATATACGTCCCATAATTTATTGCGCATATTATAAAGGTTACTGAGTTTAGCCTCTAATTTGGCTACCCTTTTTGGGTACAGGTTGCACATTAGCGAGCTTCCATGAACTAGAAACGATCCTCGTTTTTAAGGCGACATAATCGTACGAACATAAAATGCCATACAATAGAATACCCTTTACGTGTCACTAAGGAAAGAATAACATAACCAAAATATACCAATATTAAAAATAGTAATAGTATGGTTACCGGTAGCTATCCAGATTTCCGAATCTAATCACTCATATACGATTATATAACAGAGCCATTGTGCTGCCTTACTTCGGGATTCTGTGAGAGTATTACCATGGTAAACGGGGTTCATGTGAACCCATTTGTTAAAAAGTTGGACAACTACTACTCGTAGATTATACAGCTTGTGAAACCAATATTTTGTTGTAGCCACACAAGTAGTAGTAGAAGTGAGAGTCTATATACGTCCCACTACTGGGTACAGGTTTCTTCCCTGCCCTCATTTCTGAGACGATTTTATTTTAAAGAAATGTCCACCGCGCTACCATAATGCGTGTTGACAAACTTGACATGTCTTCGAAATAATTTTTTCTCCTATTTCTCAGACATACAGGTTTTCTCATGATGTTTTCCTTCACCGCTGATCACGTGATAAATCAGTATTTAAAATTGGAATTAAAAATTTCATTGGTGCCGGAGTGCATCGAACGCGGGTTGTTTGCGCACTGTGAAATTCACAGCGAGCGCTTAGTTCCTGAGCTACCACGAAATGAATTTAGCGCAGTTAATATCTGGAACATTCTGATCGTCATAATTAGCCCGGACCGGACGATATTATCATAACTATTTCGCTTTAACGTTAATTAATTATATACAATACACAAATTGTTTTCGCAAATAGTTTAAAAATAAATTATCAAATCGAAAAATCTATCTTACGATGTACTTGCTGTAAAAATCACTTTGTCAATTTGAATTTTTGGTAATTTCAATTGTCATTCATATTTTCACATATGCAGACAAACATACGTGAAACTATTAAAGAAAAACAAATGTAATTTTTTGAAATAGCATGCTATTAAAAATGTTAAAAATCAGTATAGGTGAAAAATGAGTATGTAAAGTGAACTCTAAATCTATAAACAATAATTTCTAGTTACAGACAATGTAAGTACATTGAATGCTCACCTAATAAATTTAAATTTAAATGAAAAAACCCAGGATCAAGCAAAGACAAGCTACGATATTACTCAGAGAGGAAATCTCTGGTGTGTGGAAAATTTTACAGCTACCTTGTTTGAAAAACGGGACAGAAAAAACTTCTGGACTGGATGTTACTACAAAGCTAGCTCTTCCAACTTTTCCGACTTTGGGGAATAAAGTTAAAACAACACACGAATAAAAAATCATCGACGTTGCACTCTACAAAGAGAAAAGTAGTCGATATACTGTATATATGAGATATAGAGAAGTGGTGCAAGAGGTAATTTATCTCCCCTTATGTAGTACAAACATTATAATATTTAGTCAACGTTGTTAGCATTAAACTAGTTATTTAATAGTTAATGCATTACTTCACACTACGTGACGATGTCGTAAAGGAGTTCTTCTCGTGGGTGTCGTACATGGCAGTAAAAGCAAAAATATCCGAAAAATCTTGTCGCCGATAGGTGGTAGGCTTTATTATCATCTACCCGGATTATGTCGGGTGAAATATACTTAAACCAGCAATGGAAAGTAGTAACAAAGGTGGAAAAAACTTTGCTAACAATCACATTATTTTTTTCACCGCATATTCTTTTTTTCTTTGTGATGGACCCATGAATTTTATAGGTGATTGGATCGATGTAAAAAAAGAGTCTAACGAGTCCCTTACCAACAGTAAACTGTAGGTATGTTAGTTTATCACTTACTCCAAAAATCAACTTCATATAACGTAATACTTATGATTTTATCGCGTTTTAGCTCTTTTAACATAATAAGGACTTTATCAAACTTTAAACAAAAACACAAAAGAATTGTCTCCTAGGAGAATTAAGATGGATAATAGCCGCCTTTACACATATGTCTCATTTACATTCAGCCCCCGCCACTGCTCCTCGCGCTGCCGGCAATACTTCGCTAAATACTGCCGTAGCAGGATCGCGGGAAGTGTGTATTTACATTCTGCCCTACCACTCACATCAGTTTCGGCTTTCGACTATGGCAGACGTCGAAATAATTACAGCGTCCGCGCTGTGTCTTCGTGCAATACAAAATTATGTTAATAATTTAAAAAGATATCAAATTCGAAAGAAGATAGATAGATAGAAAATTTATTTGCTTAAAACATAGTACATAAGATGATTAATGACGTGGAACTGACATGTTTTGCCATAATTGGCATGAAAAAATGATATGAAATACAGCTAATTACACAAACCCAATGTTACATTTTAAAATTATTGTATTGCTTAAAAGTTAGGTACAAACATTGTTTTTGAATTCAAATAGGTATTATGTACAATTAAATACTTATACAGATCCACTCTAATTGAATTCTTATACTGTAAATTGTTCAAAAATTATTAATTGAATTATTACATTATTGTTACATAAATAATATTAAATATTATATGAGATTAGTTAAGCTATTATTATTTTAATAATTACACTACAGTATTAATTAATTCATAATTTTAACTACAATAAAATTATAATTTAAAAATCTCAGGCTATTATGCTTTAACTTATTTCACATTTTAATAAATAAATAATCAATATGTGTTGGCGACGCGCCTATAAGAATATTTCAGTTTATTAAGTCAACCGATGACGAATAGCTTCTAAAAGGCAAATTGTCCAATAGCAATGTTCTAATAAGAAAATGCTTAGTTAAATCTTAAAGAATATCGAATTAATGATATGAAGGTCTTGGGTTCGACTCCAAGGCCGGACTAGTTTATTGTTTTCTTAAGTAATATCTCTTAATAAATTCAAAGGAATATTAAAGTGAAGTTAGAGATCGGATTTGTTCCCCGGTCGAGATGATCACTCTGTGCATAAATAGAATTAACGGAAATTAATTGCATAAGTATTGCCTTATATGAGTTTGATATGTTTTGTATGAAAATAAATGCCTATTTGCTATGATTGATTTATGAGAACATTCACTTATATTGTTATCTGATAAGAAACATGATAACTGATAAGAATCTGATTAGAAATAGTTTCCTACAGTTTGAAAATTGTGTAGAAGCATTTATTCACCTAATACTGTCGATATTGGTGTATATTAGACTTTTAATTTTTTCTGATAGTCGAGAGCCGTGCAAAGTTAGTTGTTCAAATAGTGTGAGTTCACGGACGCACGCCAAGCCACGCCCTTAGGAGGCCAAATATATAAAAATTTTAATATTTGTAATTTCAGCAATTTATGTAAAAATGACTTGTGAAACATTTCAGATTGATTGTACGTGCAAAAAAAGGTGAATTCTGTGTTATTTTTATGTGAAAATTCCTGTGTATAAGTGAAATAATGTTTTGTAGAAGAAATTTAAAAGTGTTTTAATAGTGAAATGAATAGAGAAAATGTAAATTAACTGTTATGGTTAATATATGTATTATTTCAAGTGGGAAACATTGTTTTAACTTTCTATGTTAAATATTTAAGAAATTTCGACTTTGAAGTTGTGAGTAAAATAGGCATATTTTGTTAAATAAATAAAAGGTTTTTTGTGATATGAAAATGTAATGTATATCATAGTGTAGATATTGTTTTGTGCTATCTATACAGGTAAATTATGTTGATGTATGACTTATGCAAATAAAGTAATTAAGTAAAACGTGAGAGAGTAATAGAACAAATTCATGTAATTGAGTTGCGCAAGCGCGCGAATGGCGCGGCTCACTTTCGCGTATAGCTCTGGGGTAGCTCAGTAAATGAGTTTTATTGCAATTCGTTCGGGAAAAAAGTTCGGGAATCCTTCGGGAAGTTTCGGGAAAGTTCGGAGAAACTTCGGGATAAGTGCAAGACCAGCAGTCAATAAGAAGAAGAAAGAAAAAGTGTAGGGAAGTGATAGGGAAAAGTAATTACTCTCTCACGGAACGGTTTGAAGATAATTGCTGTTTTATTCCCAAGAAATTCATCCCTCAAAATTATACAGTCCACATCGAAGAATTAAGGCGTTGGGACCGGGACGACTTCGGAAGACCCGTAATCCCCGCCTGAACCTATTTTCTGAAAAGGAAGAGGTTATCGCCCTTGTGTGTTACTCCGTTGCGGAGATCACATACGTTGTTCCCGAACCCAACGTAGGCGTTATAGGAGACCGGATCGAGAGAAGCCTCGATTCCTCCCTTCTGTTTCTTAGTTGAACGTTTACACCATTTGGTTCCTTTTCAATATGAGTTACTAATCGTTGTTAGAAATAAAATGTCAATGTTCATTAATTCCTTAAACTAAATTTTATATTAATATAATAAATTTGACGAATTTATAATTAATTATGTACATAGGTACTATGTTATCTCAAAAAAGAAAATTCGTATTCGTAGAAGATGATGAATTGTGGTTTTTATCGTTCAAATCCCACATAGTTTTTTCTGATTCCAGCAGTTCTAAAAACTTTATTGTATTTTCATTATTCCACTCGAAAGGCATTTTGGTAGATCGTACTTATTTAATAACAAGACGGCACGCACGTCCGTTCATCCAAGCGCTTGGCGCGAAGTGAGCGATGGAGCTGAATGTGAACACTCACTGCCGCTCGCGCTGCCCGTCCTTTGACCGCCGCGCGGAAAACCGACATTTGAGCGATCGTCGGGCAGTGGCAGCGGCAGCGGCAGTGTCAGCGCCAGAACCCTGTTTACATACTGCCCTGCCCACTGCCCTGCTCACTTCCCTGCCCAACAGGGCTGAATGTAAATGGGGCAATACGCTCTAACGCGTGATAACAAAAAGGAAAATGAGAATGCACGTGCGCGCCGCCCGCTCGCGTATCTCCTCGTACCTCAGTCATACGTTCAAGCCTGTGTGCTTCAAACATAGTACACACGAGCGGTTTTGTGAAAACGATCATTAACTTATGGAGCAAGGATCTTATTACAGAGTTCTTGGCAATATACAAGTCTCATGCATGCCATATTATGTTTAATTTTGTTTAATAATGCATTAAAATAATATATAAAAATAAATTAATAAACATATAATATCTAACCCTTTTGTACATTTCTTTAGAACGCTAATCATATTTTACAAAACTGCGCGAATTTCATACACTTCAGGTGACGGAAGTTTCCCGTACTGAACCACGCGCGATTAGCCTTTACACAACGCTTCTACCATTCTGAATAAAAAATACAGAAGTTTTAACGCGCGAAAGAGTCAACGCACATTATAACATAAAAACTAAAACTGATTTGTATAACTCCCTGAAAACATTAATAGAAATCATTTTGGCAACAGAGACCGAAGGTTTTCTTTTCTTACAGATGTTTTCTGTAAACAAGTTAAAATAGCCACTTATCATCAGGTGGACTGATGTCACCCTAATATTATAAATATATTTAAAAAAAATTGGTTGACCCTGCAGGCCATCCCTGGTATTTCCCGCTAATTTCAAATGCAAAGCGTTACAAATTTTACCAAATTATGTTGCGAAATCTCGAAGTTACGTTAAAAAAAATTTTTTTTAGCCGTTTAAAAATTATTCCAAAAAAAAACAGTTTTTCAAAATTTTTATTTCTGAGATTTCTCAAATCCACCTCACACACACGCATACGCACACACAAGCACACACGCACGCGCACACACGCGCACGCGCACACACACACAAACACACAGACACACACATCCACACACACACACACACGCACGCGCGCGCACGTACACACACACACACACACACATGCACACGCACACGCACACGATCACGCACACGCACACGCACACGCAACACGCACACGCACACGCACACGCACACGCACACGCACACGCACACGCACACACACACACACACGCACACACACACCCACACACACACGCACACGCACACACACACACACACACTCCCTATTTTTCAAAATTTTCTATTTTCTTAGAGGGAAGTTAAAAAAACTATATCATAAGCTAATGGCTATAATTTTTAATACGTTGATACTGTTCATGGACGTCAAACAGTGAAAATGATTGAAGAAACAAGAGATAACGATAATAAAACATAAAACTGTTGTACTCTGATTAATTATAACATAATTTGTTAGTTTCCGTACCGTGAATTAATGGCCGCGTTAAAACATACAAAATGTTATATATTTTACACTCGTAAAAATGTTCTCGACATAAGCCCTGAATGGGATAGAGACAGTCAAAACTTTACGTTTACGTCCAAAATATATAAGGGAAGGCAAAAGGTTTTTTCCTATTGAACCAATGAACACAAAACATATTCAACCATGTACGGATACGTTTTACGTACTGTTTCATGTACATGCCACTGAAACGAAAAGTTAGAAAAGTTTCGGATCTCATTCCATCTGGATGTTTTATTTCATCCAATATTACACGTCTATTTTTATGTTCGCAGATGTACAAACTTCGTAAAAATATTACTCCGTGCTAGGGAACTGCGGTAATAGTCATAACAATGTACGTTTTTTTTTAGTTTAGGACAGTGTAAGTCAAATATAGGATATATTATGTAGCTTACGTTATAGTTTTTCTATTTATTAAGAATTACAAAAACAGTGCAGGGAATTGGATAATTAGGTTTGTTCATTAAAAACCATGAAAACTTAGCGAATAACCGTGTGAAATTTAATCGTACGCGAGCCAAACGAGCCCGATTCGCAATGAAACTAATCAAAAAGTTAATTTCAGTTTTAAGGGCTGATTTAACGTGTGCTTAGCGATGAGGGAAATTTAAGAAATTGACATGTGAAAAGAAATTTCAGGACATGTGAGGTCCGAATACATGGTGGTCCATTATCTTGCTACAAAACCCAAGAAATATGCAGGAGTTAAGCGTTTTTACATTTTATTCTCTTTAGGTTTCTAACATTAGGTTTTATATAGGTATTACTTTACATCACAATAGTAAAACAAATTGCGGGTGAAATAGTATTACTTTGCTTTATCAATCTCTGAAGCCTCATTGACATTTAAGTTATAAATGGATGAACAGTCCACCTTATGTTAATAGCTGTTGCAATCAATGCACTTGCAACCAACTTCCAACAAAAACGACTACGACTGCGTTGACACCTCCGAGAACTAAAGATGGAATATGTATGGTCGATAATTATGCTGGCTTTCCATAATCTTCAAACCGAAACAGTCATGTATACGTTGTTGTTTGTAGCAAGAGAGTTAAAAAGGTGGTATAGTTATCTCCAAGGAATCCCGGCAGAAATAAAGTTCATCTGGATAAAAAGTACATTTAAAATGTTCTTAAAAAAATGTTGCTTTTACAAAACCTTATTAAATAAGTATGTTTATTAGATAATAATACAAAGCTTTACGTAAAGTGGAGTAACAACTTTTATACACATGCAAATGAACGAGAAAAATAATTTCGCAAAGGTTGTGTTAAATTGAAAACGGTAATATAATGTTAGTGAACGGATTGATTATGGTATATGGTGTATATATGTGATGTAAGGTACTACTCACCATCAGAACCGTAGTCGTTCTGTCTCACGGCCCATGCGACAGGCTCGTACGTGGAACTGTTTGCTCGGAACACCGTCCAATGATCTCCCGGCAAATCGCCTCAAGCCGTCTCACCGGCGCGGGAGAGACGCAGTACTGGTGATGCGGGATTTAAAGTTGCATTCTAGTTAAATAAATCAATTAAAAATATATATAGAAATATATTTTACTACTAAAATATTTTAAGAAAAAAATAAATATGTAAAGAGATTTATTCCTTTTTTTTTCTCCTTTATAAAATATACAATTTATAAATTAATCTTCTCTCATTTTTCTTTATTGGCTCGTTAAGGCGACACCACGAACAAATGCACATCCTTTCATCGAATAGTATAGGACTATGACACCACTAACGAAAGTGGAATTTTGATACAGGTAAATTAATGTCTTTATCTTGAATTCGCTTGTTCAAAAACACGATTATATAATTTTGACTCAATCATAATTATTTGCGAAAACACCTCCATAAAATCACTATAGTTGAAATTACAACGTAATTACTTAATCTATTATGCTTTGGAATCACTCGAATATATTCATAACATCAATAATTATACATAATTTACTTGCTCATATTTTTTTTAATATTTTATGATGATGACAAATTCTAAGGGATTATTAAAACTAAATTAATATTTAAAAAATTATTTTTAATTTCTAAGCGATTTAATCGTCGCGGCCACCACCCAATTGTAGATGTGAGCAGATTGTAGACGCTTTTTTAAGTTTTTATCAAGTAACATGTACTTACGTACTAGAACAGCTATCTCAAACAAAAAATGTGCGCTACTCTGTATTCGCGCGGTTGTTTTTTTTATCATAGAATAAACATAAGTAGAATGACCCGCAGGTAATAGTAGATTGTATTGTTAAATAAGTAAATTATATCGAGAACAATATTTAAATTATGTCATTTATTTTGTATATTATATTTGCTAAAAACATGAATTATATTCCAATAACATTTTAATGATATTTTTATCTGAATATATTAAAAGGTACTAAGTCAAACATAAAAAAAACATACTAAATGTATGTTTTACAAAACTTATTAACATAACATTTAAATTACAAATATATTTATTTAAATCAGAATAAAAGTCGTTCATAAATACTGAGCATGCGAGAGTTAAAAATTGACGAATTTATACCACTTTGACTTTGATGTGGAAACCTAAAAATAAAATAATAATAAGCAGATTTAAACATGAAAATTTTTGGTAAATTATAGTAACTTATATATGTTTCTACAAAAAATGTGTATATAATAATATATTCGTCCTATACTTAACTACCTACAGAAATAATGCATCTGAACATATTAATTTCATAATCTATATTCCCCGACACGAGAAGGCGTCTAAGGAATAATTTGTTTTATTATTAATACATAATACTTTTTTATTGATTAAGTATCTTATTAACCGATGAAAAGTAATTCCTTGGTTTTACTGACATTTCTTGAATTATTTGTGCAATATTTAAGTATACACGACGGCATATTTTAATCAAGAGATTTTTTTAAATCAACACAACACGTGACAACTCTATAAGCGCCTAGCGAGTGACTGATTAAAGTGCGGTGTATGCACCGCAGTTGAGTGGAACAGAGTAGCTGAATGCAGTGTCGCTTCTAGTACGTAGTACATAATAGCTCAATGGTTTTTATAGAAATTATGAATTCACTCGGATCAGTACGGCGATAGCCCGGAGCCAATTTTTCGATGTGTCGTCTGAAAGTCAACTGTCCCGTTATAAAAAGGATTTACCTAATCGGCACGCTTGGCAAGCGGATGCGCGATTGCAGGACAAGACGTCACGCACCTTTGACGCTGCTGCCCGGCGCTTGTTTGGGTATTTTACGTTTGAAAACAATACTTATACCACAATCTATCGGAAGTCATATATTTTTCATGCACACTGACAGATTTCTCTTTCACCACGATCACACGACAAAAAAAATGATTAGCTGTATGTAAAAGTACTTATGAATATAATCGAATTTTATATAGCCATAGAAATTGTCACCCATGAAAAAATGTAATGTAAAACATCTGTTATATAAAAACAATATGAATGGTAAGTTTAAAATATTTCCGCGTTTAAAATGATTTTTTTTAATTTGTCTGTGATCTAACCAATATTCTGTGTGGACTTTAATATAGCCTTTATTTTAACAATGTATAGACAACATCAATTTTTAGTTCAGCTCAACACTCTCAATTACAATACAGCCAAACACACGCAGTTGACAGTACCAACAGTGTAGAAAAATTATATTTACTGCGGCTATCACTGCAGCTAACCTGCATTTAATTTTGCCAACGTGCCTGCATTCATAAAACACGTAGACAGATAAAATAGAAATGTTTACCGCAACTTAGCAATAAAAAAGCAATTCGATGAATAAAACTAAAGTAAAAGTACCTTAATTTTAAATTACTTTAACATTGTTGACTTTAATGATGATAATAAACATATTGATTAATTTGCAACCTTCCGCTAACTAAATAAAATGATGTGTCTTACCTGGATTGAAGAGCACCTCCCGCCCTCCCTCAATTGCGTGCACTAATTCTGTCACCACTAGTCCCAGCACCACTACTCCCAACACAACTACTCCCGGCACCACTACTTCCAACACCACTATTCCAGGAATGACACACCATCGACGATAATACGACACGTATTTCGCTTCTACACGAGGCATCCTCAGGTGATGTAGACTCTACGGCGGCTGACCGCTTTAATTATGATTTCATACAGGTTGTCCGCCGGCAGATTTTACACTTTATAAAATAAAATAAAAGTATTTACATAATCTAAATTATTTATTTATTTTCTTACAAAAGGATAATGCGGAAATCACTTCTAAAAAATTACTCCACTCAAATGACGTCCCTCTAGTCGCAAACATTCTTGCAGTCTTTCCTTCATATTGGTGAAAACTCTTTTACAAAGTGCGGGACTGATAGCCTGAACTTCGCGGCGAATATTTTCTTGTAAGGCGTTTATTGTTGACGGAGAATTATTGTAAACGCGAGACTTGAGATATCCCCAGAGGAAAAAGTCGCAAGGGGTCAGATCTGGAGATCTAGGGGGCCAGGCTACGTCGCCGAATCGACTTATTAATTTTCCAGGAAAAAGCTCTCTCACTTTAATCATTGACTCCCGGGCGGTGTGTGCTGTGGCCCCATCCTGCTGAAAGTGAGTTCTGTTATTGTAGCCGACGTGACGATGCAGCTCGGGTATAAAAAAATATCCAACATAGCGCGGTACCGCTCTGCGGTAACAGTTTCACCTCTGTTAAAAAAAATACAGGCCAATTATGCCATTTCCAGAAATGGCGCACCAAACCGTGGACTTCGGGCTGTGAAGAGATTTTTGATGGACTTTATTTGGGTTGCTCTCACTCCAATATCGCATGTTCTGTTTATTGACATACCCTCCAAGGTGAAAATGCGCCTCGTCACTAAAAAGATGTTAAACATACGCGTAGGCGTAGAAAATCGTTCCAAAAACACTCTTGCGTAAGTCTGCCTCTTTATGTAGTCATCTTCTTTTAATTGCTGGATAATTTGAAGCTTGTATGGATGGAACTTCATCTTTTTTCGAATTATTTTGTGGACTGACGTCTTTTTCAACCTGTTGCAGCTGCAATCTTCCGGATAGATTTGCGAGGATATCGCAAAATTACCCTTCTCACTAGCTCTGTGTTTTCAGGCGTAGTTACAGACGTTGAAGGTCCAGACCGAGGCTCATTTATGGCTGATCCAGTTTCTCTGAACTTCTTGACCCACGCCCACTTCAGTTGTTTCGACGGACCATCCTTTAATCGGCAGATACCGAAGTGAGAATTAAAAGAACGCCTCGCCACATTGATCGAATTGTTGTTCGCAAAATAGGCCTCGACAGCCAAAGCGGGATGCACTCCCGTCCACTGACTCATGGCTACTAAAAAATAGGAGTGGTCGTTACAAAACGTAACTAATTACTGAAACTATCTATTCACACAATAGCGGGTAGCGGGTTATGGCAGTGCAACGAAACTATCTATTACAGTAGACGTTTTACTCAGTAACGTCTCACGAATCACGAACGAGCGATCAGTAACAATAAAACAACGTTTATTCGGCTATTTTCGCGACGCATCGGCGACGGCTTCGGCTGTTGAAGTAGAAGCACATGAGTAAAGAAACCGACTCTTTACGCTGTGGTAGAAGTACCACCGGTCGTCGAAAGTCGAGTGAGCGCGGGTGCTTTTGCATTCGACCTTTGACTCTATTCCCTTCGTATAGATGCGATATTAGAAATGAGAAAGAAGTGTGCATGTTTTTAACAAAAAATAGTTCAAATTGCATAATTTAAGTGGCCTTGGCCCGGTTTAAATTAGTCTTGAGTTTAAGTTTAATGACACGGCAAACGCGCCTAAAAAAGTAAAAACAAATTTTTACTTTTTAGGCGCGTTTGTTAATATTTTTGTTTTCTTTTTTGTGCAATAATAATAATATTTTTAGTAAAATAAGAACTAAATACAATTGTATATATTAGTGTTCATAATTTTTTATCAAACCGTGCGAAATGATTTAACAAATAAATTTTAACCATTAACACCATGTCTAATTCTATACAAAACAGTAACAAACAAGGTTTCTCGTGAAACGGACATCGTTTCATTTGCAACGTTTTTCAATTAAACACGTCGTGAAACACTCTATTGAAGCCGCTATTAAAATAGAGTGTTTCAAAACCCTCTATTAAAATAGAGTGTTTCAAAACCCTCTATTAAAATAGAGTGTTTCAAAACCCTCTATTAAAATAGAGTGTTTCAAAACCCTGTATTAAAATAGAGTGTTTCAAAACCCTCTATTAAAATAGAGTGTTTCAAAACCCTGTATTAAAATAGAGTGTTTCAAAAGCCGCTATTGATATTCGATAGATAGTTTCGTTTCGTTACTCAAAAAAGCCGCTACTACCCACCGCCACTAAACAACCCGCAACACTCCCGCGTCGAACGATACCTCGCACCCCCCGCCACCGCCTTGCTGCACGATGTGAGCTCGATCCAAAGTGTAAAATCTGCCGGCGAACTGTATTCGTCAATTCGCCAGCAAAGCGTGGCGCTTATGGTAATCCTCTACTATATAATATAACAAAAGTACTAACACCAAAGCCCGGAACGATTATTTTGTAGGCTATACAAAAATTTGTTTCATGCGGGAATGGAACTCGCGGTGCACACCACCGCAGCCCAACTTAGACTTACGGCAACGTTGCTGTACTTTTTAACTTTTTTTAACGTCTATATATGTACTGAAATTTAATTGGTGCTTAGAAGGAGAATTATTTTATAAAAATTAAATATACGGACCATTCATGTGTGAAGCCAGAAACGTGAAACGTGGATGACACTAAATCTCTACTTAAAAATGTATCTTGCAGAGATTCCATACTGAAACAGTGTAAAAATTATATGAAATGAAAAGGTCTATTATTTTTAAGTCTTGCTAAGAATACATTTACATTTTTTTATTTATTTATTTTTTATACGTAGTCGTACGTTAGTTGAATAATGTACAAATTTTCATTTCATTTTTAATGAGAAAATTTTCATGCTCCGTAATTTTGTAATTTTTGACAAAAGAAACTTTAAAAATGGAGAAATATTTTTTGTGTGTGGATGTGCAAGTGGTTTAGCATCTGTAGAAAGAATGAATGAGGAAAGACTGACAAAGCAAATATATGTTGCAGAAGCGAATGGAAGAGTCGGAAAGGGACGTCCTAGGCGAAAGTTTGTCGACCAAATTGGCGATAAGATAAGAGTACCCTTAACCGACGAGCATGTATGCGTAGGTGTATGGATGTGGAAGAGGCGAGAGAGGTATGTCAGGATCGTGCTAAATGGAAGTCTGTAGTCTCTGCCTACCCCTCTGGGTGACAGGCGTGAGTGTTTATGTTTTTTTTTATTTCATTTAAAAAAATAAAACAGAGTTGAAAAGTTTAAGCGCTCGCACGGCGGCCATACCTGCAGACATCTTAAGGGTTGGACATTTATGTTGTTTGTTCGAAAATTCTCGACACTTTTGTGGTTTTCGCTCAACTATTGCGGGAAGCGTGGAAACGTTTTCGTGTCTACAAACCGTACTACGAGTACAAGACGGTCTTAAAATATAATATATATTTGTTTGGGCTACCCGAAACATAAAAACACCTAAAATTACCTTAAGCCTCAGGTTGGTATGCATAAAGAGTGGAAATCCCTTCAGCTGCGCTCTGACGAGACTCTCTTCACCAGGTGTTGCAAAACCCTAAACTCCCACGGAATACTCCCGGCAGTATTTATCTAGAAGCTCCCGATTCCACTTGTCCATGTTCGCGTATTTTGATAGCGACTCGAAGACGATAACTCCGTACCGCCCCTTGTCCAAGGTGGTAAGAATAGGTAGACTTTTGCCTGCGACTTCCACCTTGTACCTGAAAAATAATCCACCAATTAAAAATACGCCTACACCGGATTTATCCCATATCTGTACACATTGAAGTGCCTGTCTGTAACATTGAAATAACTGACTTCTTGTAAGCTTACGGGATTACTTACATGCTGTTAAGATAAAAATAATAATTTTTAAAAGTAATTAATTCAATCATTGCGATGAAACTTTATGAACAGATAGCGAGCAATGCCAGGAGGGGATGTAGGCTATATTTTATCCGTAAATTTAGCTGTTTTTAAAAAAGAAAAGCCGACGAATTTATAAAATAAATGGTCTGAGATTATCTTAAATCTAAATAACGCCATATTAATAGATTTTATCCAGGCGAAACCGGAGCGGTTTTATTTATGGTTAAGACTAGGTATGGTAAGTGGTTTTCGGGTAAAACTGTTTATAGTAAAATCTGAATAATAATTAAATTGATCACTCGGATGCAGAAAAGGCCTTTAAATATTAAAACCGACATTAGACACCAATCTTTCATTAAACTGATGCAGAAAACATCTTATGACTTATATTTAACGTTTCTTTAAACATTATTTACTGAACATGTCATTTAAACCGTCATTTGTAGAATTTTACGTTGCGCAAAACTTCATTAGTCTAATATTGACAGTTCTGATATTTAACTTGAATGGTTGACTCAACAATAAGCTTTAAACTACTTTAAACGATCATTAGCTCCCCTTGAAGTAAAGTTTATTTGGTAACTGCTGTTCAGTAAGAGCATTCCGAGTTGTTAGTGTAAATTATATTAATTGGTAAGTCATTAAAAGGAAGCGGTCTGTTTAAACTCGTGTGACATGAAAGATCAGGCTGATATCATTCATCGGCCAATCCCTCATCTTCTCTTCTTTCACCCCAGAGAGAATTAACTTATTTTACCTCATGAACAGGATTTTCTAATTAGTAGTTCAAAAGAAGCTATCCTTTGAATTTCGAATTTGCTGAGTTCAGGGCCAATCACCGCAAGAAATAAAAATGTTGATGGGAAACTCAATCTGAGGTAGTTAAATTAAATAGCTACTTAAATAAAATGTCCAATAGAGAAAAAAATTTGCAGAAGACTTCTACGAAATTGATCAATTTCTCAGTGTAAGAGGAGCTTCAGGTTGTGCGTACACTAAAAAAGAAAATAGTAGATATCTCTTCTTCTATTAGAATCTAAATAGTTATAGGTGCAGAAAATTTTATATTTCTATAAATATTCAAATAGTCTGTGATGCATCTCTTAAAATGAGGCATATCATAGATAGGCCGTTAGTATGATATGATTGCAAAATATTTATTAACTCACACTAGTGCGCGAATTTTAAATTTGCATGATATAGAAAGTATATATAGTAATATATATATATATATAATAATTATCTAACGTGGTAGAGCCATGCTGCAGTTATATTAGTAGTATAGTTGTAGCACGAATGGATCGGCTCGACTGCGGAGAGACCACGCTCTCACAGAATACCAGCGTCAAATATTAGCTTAATACTGCTGCGTTTCCTATGCTGAGTGTTGAGAACCGGAGACCCTTTTTACTGGAAACGAGGCATTCCACGTAAGTCCTCACGGGTGACAACGCATCTGCAATTTGAATCACATACGGGGATAGATGTAGATGTCTATGGGCCACAGCAACCACTTACCATCAGGTGGTCTGTGTGCTCATCTGTCATCCTATCGTATAAAAAAATTACTTTTTGTAAAATTAGTAATAAAATAAAAACAAAATAAGCTTATAACATAACATCACATTGCAACTCGAAATTTATAGAGAAATTCTTTGGCGTATGAAAGGCGATGCCTATGTTCCAAACGACAAATTTAATTAGAGAAAACATCAACTGTGCTTCATATTCATGTAAACTCTTTGTCAAGCCAAGCCAATTTAATAGCAGGAACTAACAAAAACATCAACGTTATGATTTCTTATACACGTGGTAGTGTTTGAATAAAACTATACTACATTGAATAAAACTAATTAAAAAAATTCGAAACGCCGCGTGTTTTAAATACATATTAAACGCAATTAAATCCGTAAAATTAGTTTTAATCGACATAAAGTAAGCTTGAGTTTGTGACAGTTACAGAACTTAGTTCACAAACGTTAAATTGGAAAATAGTTCGTTCAACTTTGATTTTTTTTAAATTGCTATTTTAAAATTGATTTCTTTTGTGTAAAAATATCCACTCCTCATATCGTCCCTTGGAAGTTGTAAAAGGCGACAGATGGAAACTGAAACAGAAGAAGCATCTTCCTGATAACAACTCAAAATAATTAAAAACTTCGTTTGCCTCCTTATCCTTATTGACCTTAATTATGCTCAAGGCCGTTATATGCAACATGATTAAAATCTTGTTTTCATTATCGCTGATTCATTACGTGAATTATTTCATTACTAATGGAGACCTTACTGAAATTAGCTGTTTAATTACTTCTATTTAACGCCTGTTTAATTTAGTCAAAAGTACGAAAACACCTATCAGGTTATTACCTGATAGGTGTTTTCGTACTTTTCTTCTTCTTCTTCTTCGAATTTCTTGAAGTGTGAAGACGTCGGTGCGAAATGGCGCTGAGCAGGTTAACGGAAGTCATGGTTATAAAACTACTGTCGTTAAAATTTAACGTTTAAATTAAATTTTAATAGTTTAAATTTAGGATTTAACGTAACGTTAATTGGCATTTTTGCGCGCTATAATTAATGCCACTAGCACCATCTAGTATCAAGTAGCAGAACTAGGTGAGCTTTCTAGAGAATTCCAAATTAGAACTTTCTACACCTAGTCAGTAGGGACCGGTATGCACTCGAACATTCTAGATGTTTCAGTAGAAGAGGGCCTATATAAGACCAGTAAGAAGAGAGGAGTATTGAATTGGCGATATAAGTGAATATTTTAAAGGCTGGCAATGCACCTGCAATTCCCCTGGTCTTGCAGTTGTTCATCGGCGGCGGTTGTCACTTAACATCAGGTGTCCTATAAAAAAATACTTCGAAGCGATATAACTGCGAACTGAAGTGATCAGTGTGATTAATTATTAGTGTGCTTAAGTTGTAATAGGTGTTCAGTAATTAAAGAGTCAATTTTGGTAATTCAATTGGCAGTTTTTATTGTCACGAACCCCAAGCTCGTAACAATTGGTGTTAGAAGTGGTATACAATTATGCCGATTTTACTTAAGGATGACATGGAGGGTATCCGTACCCGAAGTCAATGCCAGCAGGAGACTGACAGAGTCGATTTCCTCCTGCAGCATCATCATCAGAGCACCTGACTTATGTGCTCTCATGATGATGCTGCAGGAATAAGCTCGCCGACAGGAGGAACAGGCCCGTCGGTAGGAAAAACAGCTCTAACGCCATAAGGGCTCTTCCCTCATAAGATGTTTCTCTTGAAAGACCTTCACGCTACTTTCGGGAAAGAGATAAGAGAGGTGAAGAATAGAGTTGCTCAACATGACAACCGCCTGTTGGAAGCTAAAACACAAATCGACCAAGTCAAGTCAGCCATCAAGTGGTGGCTGACATGAAGAAAACGCTGGACAACCTCAAACTACGGGATGAAATTACAGCTCCCGTACTATCTACAACACCTTCGCTACTTGAATTCAAAGTGATAGGCCTGTAGTTGGATGGGTCGGAGCGGTCGCCTTTTTTAGGAATCGGGTGGACGAAAGCTGTCTTCCATGATTTCGGGACTACGCCTAGGGAGTAGGAGTACTGGAAAAGACGCGTCAGAACCGGTGCTAACTCTGGAGCACACGTCTCAGCACAATTAGGTGGATTCCGTCAGGCCGACCCAACTTGAGGATGTCCAAGAAGAGGAGTGCTTTGCAAACTGAGCGCTGTGTGAACCGCACATCCGGCATGGAGCACTCAAACCGCGGGTTGTCGGCGGTGTGCTCCCCCCGTCATCGAGAGTCGAGTTGGACGCAAAGAAGGAACCTAGCAGATCGGCTTTCTCTTTTGCGGCATGGGCCATTGAGTCGTCCTCTCTGTGCAGAGGTGGAAGAGATGGCTGACAGAAATTCCCTTGGACAGCCTTGGCGAGATACCAGAATGCACGGGTTCTAGAAGGAAACAAACTAGTTTCTCGCCAATTCTGCTTATGTGCTCTGACTTTGCCTTGGCAATGACTCTTTTGAAGGACCTGGAGGCGGAATTATACTTATTTTTTAGGGTGCTAGCGTTTACATCCCGGGACGTTGATGCGTCAGCCCAGTCTCTGTAGCACTTATGCTTATAACGTGATGCTATTTTATAGGAGCGACTAAACAATGCCTAAGATCTGCCGATGGGCACCACAGAGGAAGGAATAAAGAGTTCCATACCCTGTAGTACCACATCAGCGACAGAGTCAGCAACAACGTTGGGATCGTCCATTTAGAAGCAAACTCACCCCCAAGGGAATGATGCAAAGAAATACCGCATTTTACTGGAAACGAGGCCTTCCATCTTAGTCCTCACGGGTGACAACCTATCTGCATTTTGATTAGTATTCTAGAATAGATGTAGATGTCTATGGTCCACAGCAACCACTTACCATCAGGTGGATTGTGTGCTCGTTTGTCAACCTTTCCTATAAAAAAATTAAAAAAAAAGATATAGCCAAACTCTTACACAATCTAACCGAGGAGAATCAAGGACTCTCTCAAGGACCGTCTATGCAAAACACCAATTCTGGGGTACCCTGATGCGGGCAAGGCATTTCTAGTTGGCACAGATGCAAGTGATATTGGACTTGGTGGTGTGTTGTCTCAACAGAATGGTGATCAAGAGGTTGTGATAGCGCACTTAAGCAAGTCGTTGTCAAATCTGGAAAGGAACCATTATGTCACAAGAAGGGAAATGCTTGCTGTGGTAAAGTCGTTGCAGTATTTTAGCAAATATCTTCTGGGGCGGAAATGGCTATTGCCATTTTTTAATGAAAAGTTGCGAGGTGGATTGAACTACTGCAGGAATACGATTTAGTGATCGAAAAT